ATTTCATTTAAAATCTACTAAAAGTCCATTCACTGTTAATCTAAAATAAACTAAAATCCACTGTAACTCTGACGCAGCTTCCAATCTTATCCTTTCAAAGCGTACGTAATTATTACATTCGACACCAATAACTTGCGGTCGATGACGTCACACGAAACGCGTGACGTCATCACAAATAAGTCGACTCTGACGTCACAGTGTGAGAAACCGCTAGATATAGGATGCTCCATTTATTGTTACAATTTGTACTAGTTAAAAATAAAACTGCTTATATTCATTAGATTACTTGAAAACCTTGCTTTTATCAGACTTGGTGGTTAGAAATATTTCAGGATAGTGCAATTTTTTTACAGAAAGTATTGACAAAGCTAAGATTCAATTTGTTTTGTGTGCAGTATTATTCGAATTCTAAATTTGAATTTGAATTTGGAATTTTTAAATTTGAAACTAACAGAAGTATTTATTAAAAAATACTAACATGAAATCAGATGATGCAAAGATTTTAAAACAGTTAAATGTTATTGTATCTACATATCTGAATTTCTTATTATGTAATTCATATTGAAATTAATTCTCTTTTGGGGATGTTCTAATTGTGAGATTTTTTTTATATTTTATAAGTTATATTATATTACCATAAGATTACAAAATTACGTTTGAGATAAGAGAACAAAGTCTTGAGCTTCCTGTAGTAATTCCAAACAATGGCCAGTTCCCATTAAGTCTGTAATCTATGTATAACTGACTTTTTATAATATTGTTATTCTCACGTACAACAAACAACACAATAATGTGTTGGTTTATTTATAAAGCGCTCGTAACTCTCCCGCGGCGGTTTCGCTGTAACATTATCTTCCCTCTCTTTCCAACATCAACAATGCCCATAGTCCGCCATCTTTGTGTATTTGCTATCTCTTTCGCACGGTGTTAAGTGATCGGATATTAATTTACAATGGGATGTTATTTATAATCAATTGCCTATTATTAAGAAGTGTTATATTCTAATTTTGAAATAGCATAGAACGTGCCTTTGTTACTATTATTTTACGATTTGTTTTGACTTGGTACTTATGTTCTTTTTTCAAAAATATTGTTTTTTTTTTTAATATCAAGCATTCAGTAGTCGTCCAAAAAGTTTGTATAGTTTTGATTGAACCGTGATTCATTCTGTAGTACTCAGTAATAATAATGTTAGCGTATGAGTCACAGATAAAGAAACATTACTTACGACTGTCACGATAAAAATATTACCGTCCCATACTTATGGAATATTCTGTTACCATTTTTTTTTAACACACATGGTGTTTAATGATATGGGAATTTGGATATAAATCCCATGTTTATATTCTATGGTGGTTTGAATAAAAGATGGCATTTATTTAAAAAGTCTGCTGTACTTTTCGCTACGTCGTTAAAATTTTATTTGTTTATCGTCTACGGGCAGTAATCGAACCTTGAACTGTACGTAGAGATTTAAAACAGAAGTTTTAATGACCGGTGCAATAATGTTTTTATAATAACTATGCACGTGTGTTTGTATGAGTAATTAGTACACACACACACACACACATAGAAATATTATAATTATTTAATTATGTATATATGAGTGTGTTTTGTTTAGTGGTCACAAATAGCGGTGTTATAATGTTTTCTTAGGGTTTATGTGGCTAACGGCCCTGATGAAGACGATTACAATTTATAGGGATGTCTCATTTAATAAAAATATTAATGACTAGCTGACACCGGCGACTCTGTCCGCGTTCTTTGATACATTAACTAAGTTCTTGAATACTATGAATACATCGATTTATCGACCAAGAAATAAAACTTCAGTATTTATGCCGTGATATATGAGTAACTGATGATCTCAATTATTTTATATATATGGATAAATATAATAATAATATTAATGAATTCAATCTTATTCCAATATTGTTAAGGTCTATATTGGAATTGAATAAATTTAATCTAAATATTCATATATTTACTCAGTATTTTTCAAGTATTATATACCTATACGGTATTTATTTGCAAAAATTTCATCAAAAATTACGTGTGAGCCGGCAACCCTAATTGTAATATGACAGGATGTACTCGATACGAGGGTTGAATGTAATATTTGATTTGATATGTTATACCTTATTACTAATACAATAAGGTGTATATTACGCTGGCAAATCTGGGTATCTTCGTATAATGATGATTGAAACTGCACTATGACCTCCAGACGCGTCTGCTGTAAGGGCATTCAGCTTTAGACAGGGTTAACGCAAAGGAATTTATATATTCTTAAGTATATATTATTTTTACTCACTTTACATATAGGAATTGTTATAAATGTATATAATTTTGTTGATGTTTGATAACCCTGATATATGTATAGTAATGAATTAAATTGAATCGTCTTATAATTTTAATTTAATATTTTTTGTTTGTTCCGGCTTATCTCTTGTACAGCTAGAACGATTTTGATGGGTTTTTCCGTAGAATGTAGGTAATTTAATTTAGACTAGTTTTTAACTGACTTCAAATGGAAGTAATCCTCGATTCGGCTAAATGTTTTTTACTTTATTATTCCTCTAAATAGGCTATCATCTAAATTTTTTTAACCGGTACGGGTATTTCTGAAGTAGTTCCATTCCCACAAAGTTTTCATGTACCTAATTCAGGGTTTCTCAAGAAATAGATTGAATCCTTATAAAAATGATATAGCGTATATTAAAAATGTAGATCTAGTTTAAGATATGTATGTGTTTAATACTCACAGAAAATTATTAAACTAATTCTGCTTGATGAAAAGATGAGAGGAGTGCAACGCATTTGAATCGCTTCTGTTGATGTGTATAGTTGATACATGAATGTATCTTATAACTTAATTATTTATAGACTAACATACAATGATTATAATAAAGTATATGGAAATTTAAATTAATATGAAATACCAATTGTTTTTATTCAAGTAACTAGTAATAGGTCAGTCGCTAAGTACTATAGTTAATTCTATAACAATATGTGGATGTTTTAATTCAAGGAATTATTATAAGTAAAAAATAAGTTAAATTAAATTAATATTATATAAATAAGTAGCAATATTTTAAAACAAGTTTTAGTTACGTAACTTATCATTTTCTTTATCAACGACAAATACTAAATGTTATCGTTAAATTATATTAATAAAAATGTCTACTATTGTTACTATTTTTACTACCAATTTAAAGTATCTGATAAAACAATATCCACGTGTTTCTTTACGTATATTAAAGACGTTTATACTCTTCTTCTACCTGGCAATTTTCCCAGCTTTAGCCAGGGTCTGCCCTACATGTTGTGAATAGTTTTGGCTTATTGTTTTTACGACCGGCCGCCTGCCTGACATCAACCCTCTTTGGTAATGCATTAATCAGTGATGTCTAAATACTCTTAGAAAGTACATATGACTCGGAAAAATCACATTTGTAACCTCCAGGATCGAATCCTCGCCCTCGTGCATAAGAGGCGGGCCTTTTAACCACAAAGCCACCACTGTTAAAGACGTTAATACTGTAGGTGTTAAAGTTTTTCGACCCCTAGTACTAGGATGCGAGTATTATGAGGAGCTATCTAATTTATATAATTGGTGTTGGGTTCCGTACTAACGAGACTTATTATACGATGCTAGTGGAAAGTTGATCTACACATTACAGACCTTCTTGTGACCGCCGGCTTTGTCTGATGATTTATGATTTATGTATTAGTAAAATATTAAGTTAAATATTTTTTTATGTATGTATATTAAGTATAGTAAGAAGTAAAAGAATTCTTGGTATGAATTTTTGGAAGCTTCGTATGTTTTCGTCTGATATATTTTGGTTTAGGATGAATTATATTGAACCTGTAATAAATATGTATTGTTATATAAAATATTTATATGAAGCTATTTTAAAACATCACTATTTATGTAAAGAAGAAGCTTTTATTAATATAAATATTTAAAAATCAATTAACCAATTAATGCATATATAGATCCAGAACAGATTTGATGTGATGTATGTGTTTTAAATCCACGAGAATTTAGCAATGATCGATGTTCTATACAAATTAAATATTCAAACTTCTTCACTTAAAATTTCTGAATAATAAATTCTGCTATAACGACCAAGCATAAGGCCTCCAATTCGTATCTGTTTTACTGGTACAGGTTTTTGACAAATTTATTTTTCTATTTTCTATGATAAAAGTAAAAAATTTCCACAGTTTTTTTACTACAAACAATTTTATCCTTTAATATGGATTAAAAGTATATTCCGTATTATTCTCCGTGAACCGTGAAGTACGTCGTACGTACTCTGCGTCTTATATTCCGAGATGTAATTTAGGAATGCTCTCTTTATTGCCTGCTCTTGAACAACCACTCGATGCGATTCTCAAACATTGTATTGGCACGTATATTGCTTTGGAGTGTACCAATACACTTATTATATATATAAAAAGGAATAGTCTACTAGTAATATATATTTAGTAAGAAAAGCTAATAGGTTATGTATATATGTATATTTATATCGTCGGGAATAGTGCAAATCCGCGTAACTGCCATTCTAATAAATTAAAGGTATTTAAACCAAATTTTTTCACAATAAGTAATAAATTAAACGCTAAATAATTACTAATTGTGAAAAAAAATCCTTAAAAGTCGTTAATATAGAAAATGTTTCAGCTCAAACTTTTCTCAGACTTTTTTCGTCATATGTACATACGCTGTATTATCCGATGGTAGTTACGAGGATTTGCACTATCCCCGACGATATGTAAAAATAATCACTAAAGTGAAAATATATTGATAATATATTTTTCTAATATAATATCATAGTAATATTCTTATCAATGCGGATGTGTTTCGGTAAAGTACATCACAATCACACTTACACTAAGCTTTTGTCGTTCTATGATAAGGAATGCATCATTTTAACGTCATCCTAATTTGAATTTTCATGTATACACAATAAGGTTAAAAATATTTTGTTTTGTTTCACAGTGCCGTCGGTAAGACATGTCTGCTCATCAGTTATACAACAAATGCCTTCCCCGGCGAGTACATACCGACAGTGTAAGTAGTATTTGTATATATTTAAACTTTTAATAAATTATTCATTAAAAAATGACCTTCATCTGTCAAAATGTGCATAATATATACAGCCAATGTGACGTAATTCGAAAGTAGGAAACGGATCCGAAAAAAAAAACAGTGATATGTGTTTATTTTAAAAATAGATAGAGACCAATAACGCTGGTAAAATAACGAAAATAACTAAACTTATAAAAATTCTTCATTTAGACTAATAATGTAAATGGCATATGTACTATCTATCAATGATTTAAATATTTGTAGATACTGTAACGAACTATGTTTAAAAAAATATAGGACTTAATAAAATAACTTGTATATAAAATTTATAAATAAATGAATAAGCATAACTTTGTGATTCCCGTCACAAACAAAAAATATTTAGTCAAAGGAAATACTTAAATAATACATCATGATAATTACAGGCAAAACCTTAACACGAGTTTTAAAAGTAAAACTGTTAGTTAAATAGTGTTTTACTACATTATATAACAATCTTAAATACCATATTAACTTTGACAAATGCGAAGTTGTACATAGATTAAAAAAATTCTCATATTAGTACATATATATATTTTTAATCAGTACACAAATGTTTGAACACGTAATATAAATAAACTGTGGTCACGGTTATTAAATGCCCGAAACGCTCGCACGATTATGTTCGCACGCTAATTGTATCTGTTTGATCTATACGCTCTTATTTCAATATCACACCATTGTTAAAAAATTAATATAAATATTACATGGGATTATGTTATTATTATTACGGGCAGTAACTTGGTAACTGATTATAATATATCGTTCTATACTTTTATATAGGTCGATAATATTAGGTAAACCATACTAATATTGTAAATGCGAAAGTAACTCTGTCTGTCTGTTACGCTTTCACGCATAAACCACTGAACTGATTTTAATGAAATTTGGTACAGAGATAGAGTTGACCTTGAGAGAGAACATAGGTCAGTTTTTATTCCAGACTTTTGAAAGGTTCTCTTGGAAATACGATATAACCGAACTCCACGCAGGCGAAGCTGCGGGCGGAAAACTAGTAATAATATAAGGAAAAAAATATGAACTAACTGCTTTCGATAATTTTAGAAAATCTTGAAATCATTAAAATAATATAAATATTGTCGTTAAAATAAACATATGATGTTTGTGTCTCAAATAGAATCGGGTCAGGGATGCGATTAACATGTCCGAATAGTTTTAAGAATCACATGAAATATATTCCCGCTGTATTTATTTATATTGGTTAATGTTTTTGTTATCATTGGCTGCTTCAATGGAACCGATTTATAAGTTTTTTGTTTTTATTTTCCTACTTAAAATATGCGGAGAATCTTCTTTGAATACTTCGTGTTCATTGTTTGTTATAATTTTATTATATAAGACTAGGTTTTGCCCGCGATTACGCCCACGTGGACATCAGATTTGTTCTCTGCCACTACGGCCACTGAACACTAACTTGCATTTCATGGTTCCACCCGTGTAATTTTTGGATTAGGATCAGGATAAAAGTAAAAAGCCTTAAGGCCACTAAATGCGAATCTTTACCAAAATATATCAAAATTAGTTTAGTGGGCTTAGGCTTGGTAATGTAACAGACATGAGACAGACAGAGTTCCTATCGCATTTATAATATAAGTAGAGATAATGGAATAATCAAAGAGGACAATGCCACAGATACGAAAATAGCATCAAATTTATAAACAGCGCCATCTGTTGTCAGTTTTAGGAATTAAATGAGAGTATTTTATTACAGATTCGACAATTACTCAGCAAACGTGATGGTCGATGGTAAGCCGATCAACCTCGGGCTTTGGGATACCGCCGGTCAGGAAGATTACGATAGGTTGCGACCTTTGTCTTACCCACAGACGGACGTGTTCCTCATATGCTTCTCACTCGTCAACCCAGCATCCTTCGAGAACGTTCGCGCTAAGGTACTATAGTCATCATCGAGACAGTTTGTTTATTAAATTTATCTTGTCTATTGAACAGAATTGTGTTACATTGTTGAGCTGTTAATCATTAATTAGGCGTGTATTTTATTTAGACCCATTTTTTATCCGAAATTCGAAGTTTAATTAGTTTTTTTATTCTTTTAATTAAAACCAACATCGATGTTAAAATTAAACTCAAAACAAAAACTTAATAGGTGTCATTAATTAGTTTTCCATATAAAAAAACAAAGATTTTTCTTGATTTTCCTCAACATATCTTTTAAGAATTTATTATTAAGAATATTTTAAAGGATAAGTTATATTTATAATAATGATATTTCCAGTGGTATCCGGAAGTGAGGCATCATTGTCCTTCAACCCCCATCATCCTGGTCGGTACTAAGCTTGATCTCCGTGAAGACAAGGACACTATAGAAAAACTCAAGGACAAGAAACTGGCTGCAATCACCTACCCTCAGGTGAGTAATAAAAATTAAATATATTTAAATATGACCTTGTGATAACAAAATTATAGTTCTTAAGTCCAAAGTATTGGAATTGTTTTTTTTTATTGAAGTGGAAGCTACTGTTCTTAGATTTGTTGAATTTTAACTTGTTTCAAGAAAAGTTATGACAAACAAAAATTTTATAATGTAACAATTTTTGTATTATAATATCAATTACATTGGTTTTCTTGTAATTCTATAATAATAAATTTAGTTAAAATGTCTTCAACACTATGCATTGCAATCATATTTTGTTATCTTCTACTGATGGGTCCTAATATGTTTATCTGTCTTATTTAACATTTCTTCTAAAACTAAAGTTCATTGCCCCATTTATTTTAGGGAAGTCTAGTTTTTATATACATATTTAAGTGGAAAAATAATTTAAAGTGCAGAAATCTATAGTATTTGTGGAACTTGTCAATCTATATAGTTAATTTTATATTCACCTTTTTAACTAATTGATTATACAGGTGACTGGTGAATTACTATCAATATTTAAGGAGCATACTCGGTACATGATTCTCATTCGAATTATTAAAAAAAAATAGGTACTTAATTTTTGACCAAATTTCCGTATAAATAAATAAAGTGTTGACACGTTCAAAGTGTTCCAAGTGTGGACGCGTGCGGCGGCGTGCTGATACAACAAGACGCCGCCGCGCGCGAGTGTGTGTGTGTGTATACCTAATCTGTAGGGTGTTCACACGATGCGTAATTAATTACATAACTTTTGGTTAACTTTACTTAGAAGTTTATTAATATTTATGTTATATTAATTTTTATTTTGTCATATATGATCGTCAAATATCACGTCCTCAAATATCGATAGTAATTCACCAGTCACCCTGTATAGGAGTGTATGTATTATTTTGTACCAGGATATCAGCATAACTTAAGAGTTATAGCAAAAGTTGTGAATTGCTGTGCTAATTTAAATACAAACCCTATATTAGACTGCACTTATAAATATTTATTATTTGTTATACCACTATCATATTTATTACCTTAATTTTGTAAGGAATTTTATTGTTATGTACAAAGTTATTGAGTTAATGCAAAGTTTTTGAATTGCTGTGCTATTTTAAATACAGACCCTATATAAGACTACACTTATAAATATTTATTATTTGTTATAACACTATCATATTTACCTTAAGTTTTTATGTTAGTTACTTAATATGGGAATTTCTTTTGTTATGTATCAGGGTCTCAGCATGGCTAAGGAGATAGGCGCTGTGAAGTACCTAGAGTGCTCCGCCCTAACGCAGAAGGGTTTGAAGACTGTATTCGACGAAGCCATCCGGGCTGTGCTATGTCCGGTGCAGCCCGTCAAGGTCAAGCGGAAGTGCGTCATGCTCTAAGGAACCACCCCGGGTATGACGTCACATATATATTAATATTTTATATATAAAAGAGATTTCCACCTATATATTGACTCATCACGATATCTCTGCAACCATAAGGCATAGCGACTTGAAATTTGGTAGGATTATTCCTTTCGCCGAGTAGAGGTCAGCTAAGAACGGATTTTATGAAATTCCACCCACAAGGGGGGTTGCGGGGGCGTTAACAATGAAAAATATGCCTTCACGCCTAAACCACTGAACTGATTTGAAATTTGGTACAGAGATGGAGTTGACCTTGAGGAAGAACATGGGATAGTTTTTATTCCAGACTTTTGAAAGGCGGAACGCTAGTTATTATACAGGGTGTATGAAAAACTGTGTCAACCCTCTTAACTACGTTATCAGTATCGATAATGTAACACAATAAAACAACTTACATTTACAAACTCTTCAATAAAAATAATAAAATTAATTATTAAATGATTTATATATGTAGAGTAACAAAATGTTTGTATACCCTGGTATAACACGATGACACGCAATGACGTCATCACAGCTGCTGCGCTACTAGTGACGACCTTGAAGTTACTTTCACATTATTGAAAATATCGATATTTAAAAAATCATAACAATAGATAAATATTTAATATTCATATTATTTCGATACTTATTTTGATATATCAAACATTAATATTATGTTTGATTGTAAAACACCATTTTTACCAGAAATAGATTAACGATTTATCCTAATAATACAACATATGTAATTAATTTACCTGAACAAGTTTCAGATTATAATATTTATTATTAATAAAAGTTATTTTAAATGAAATTATTTTAATGTGAAAAGCATAACTATTTATAGCAATATTGAAAATGTCGATAAAATATTTATCGATATAACAAATTTTTACACTTTCAAATCTCTATTCGAACAACTAACAGAATAGTAATAATAACGCCGGCGGCCCGGCGCCTGCGGTCAATGGTCACGCATGCGCCGTTGCGACTATATGGTGTCTTGAACTATGAGTCAGATGTTTGGAACATTTTTTCGAATAATGTCGATTTAAAACTTATTTAGCCTATGCACTGTAACTGACCTCTGCTTGATATTTTTTAAGTTATACTATTTTTTATAATAAGCTTATACTTATATGTAAACATGCCTTCAAGGGTTGACACAGTTTTTCATACACCCTGTATAATATAGAAGAGTCTAGATTAGTTGTGCCTGCTATATTTACGTGGAAGTTAAATCACTGCAGATCGAACATGGGCTGGCTCGGACAGGGAAGTAACACCCTCTCATAAAAGATGAAGTAGCCTTTCATGACTGCATTTTGTAAGATGAGTGAGAGAGACGATTGTCTGTTCCCTGTTCCTACCCTTACCTCTCCTTCTTCCACATTTAAGGGCAACGCATCTGCAAAATTATATTGCGAATCTCTACATATATCTAATACATGCCAATGTAACTCATATCTTTCACACTTCACTAATCCTCATTTATTGTTTGTATAAAGCATTAAAAAAAATTGAAGGATTTTTTTAAATATATGTAATTCGTCATATCTTAAAATAGAAATGATTTTATATTAAACAACTCTATTACTATATAAGGCCCTGCCCCTTACTACAACTTATCGTGTTATCTGTATGTCTAACGTCTAGACTCAGATAATGTCACTTGTTATATCATTACTAAATATATAAATATATGTCTAAATAAATACACATACTAATTTTACTTCTAATTAAATTCTATTTAATTAGTCACATGTTTATTTCTTTTAATACTTTAAATTATTTTCACATATTATATTAATTATTATTTAACTAGTTATTAAGTAATTTTAACCTTCACATTTAACAAATGTTCATATATTAAATTTCTTTTATTCCAGATAGTATACACAAGTCGACGCCAGTGTAAACATCAAAGCTATATTAAATAGAGCGCACCAAACTATCCGTCTACATCTGTGCTGTTTATGGACTGCATTATACATACGATTTATTCTTTATTATCTACCTAGCTGTATTGTCTATGGTTATGACACTGACAGCTGTGTTGTCTATGGTTATGACACTGACAGCTGTGTTGTCTATGGTTATGACACTGACAGCTGTGTTGTCTATGGTCCTTCAAATGTCACATTTGGGTGCTTCCGATGACGCGTTCTTAAACACATTCCGTTGTTTCACCTGTTAGCCAGCCATAGATTATTTTACGTCGACTATGCAGAAGGAAATATGTATTGTTTAAATTTGTTTTGGTGCGTTGGTGATTAAAATGTGGAATTGTTGAAAATTTTTTTTTTGTGTTAGACAGAGATTATATTTTTCGATTTATTGCTTTATTTTCGTTCCCAATTGTTGTATTTCAATGTAATATGTAGGTGTCTATAAGTACATACAGTATTCGCTAAAATGTTATAAAATTATCGTATATTACTTACTGTGTAATGGATGGGAAAATTTTTAATAAATAATCAAATGCGAAATTTCTTTCACGTTTAAATCATATGATAGGCATTTTTTATTTATTAAACTTTTTATTGCATTTCGTTGTAACTCTTTTTAATGTTTAAACAAGCACAAACTGTCTATTAATACTGAATTTTAGACTCGCGCAATAGCCGACACCCATATTCGCTAAATACATATCGAAGCAAGCCAGAGACTGTATGAAATTGTTTTGTCTTTATGGTAATTTATTAATGAATTTTTCATGTCAAGGGTGAATAGAGAATTAAACGTTTTATCATATGGCAATGATATTGCATCTGTCAAATGATAAATGCGATGTATTTTTTTAAATGTATTTTTAAGTTTGAAATGTCTGTAATTTTTTTAACTCTTAAATTACCGTCAGAACAATCTATATTCTATAGTCTCGCTAACATCCGTTACTGTGTAAAGCCGCACAATTATTACATTAAGCATTAGCCGTTCGAATTAAAATGTGCCATCACACTATCAACTAAATAATATGTTACGTGTATTTTAATTCGATCGGGTTAACTTAGTCCTTGGGAGACATTATTCGCTGAGAATGTGATAATGGGTTTAGGCTTTAATTGACTGAACGGCCTCTGTAATTTTACCATTATATTTCTTTATGCCTAAATTTTATTATACATACACTCGATGTACTGATGTAATTGCTTTTAATATGTTAATTATTGTCTAAATCCACTCCTGAATATTTAAGATGTAAGTTAGTACACGTGTATTGCGTCTTAAGTTACGTGCAATTGTTACTGCTTCATCATTAATGCCATAGAGTTTTTTCTTTTTTTTTACAGCCAACAGCTTAGGGCATAAACAATTGCACAGTAACATAGCGGTAAGGTTTTATTGTATTGTTCAGATGAAAATATTTAGAAAGGACATCCTGTAAATAACTGTAATGTTAGTATTAAATAATATAAGTGTTGCCATCTTGGTGATGCATTTTTTATAACTAGACAACATTTATAGGCGCTTCGAACGCATTTTTATATAAGTTAAAAAGTGTATTTGCTATCGTAAATAAAGGAATTATTACTTTAAATTAATCAATACCTTTTCCCTTACTACCCGCGCTAACTAGTACCTACATTCGGTTTAGTGAGTCATTAAATTTAATATCGAACATATTTTTGTATGACTGAAAATATATATTTACGGATATGTAAACATATGTCATATTATGAGAAGAATTAAATATAAAACCTTCTTTCCCTTTCACATTAAGAACTAATAAAAAAAAACAAATATTTTGAAAATAGAACACGTCATACTTTATTTGACGCTCGACCAACAAAGTATATATTATTTTTGTATAATCTATGTTAGCGCTCGGCCGTGTGACGCGTCACGCGAGTGTCGCGAGGTCGTTGTCTAGGGTTCCACGTTTATTGGTGTTAGCTTATTTTTATCGTTACTAATGTATTGTGTCCGCTTAAACAGCTTGTATTAATTTTATGTAACACGGGAAACGCTGAACTACCGACGTGTCAAATTCTTTCAAATATTGTGAAGCCTCCGAGTAATTCGAAATATATTTATATTAACTGTTCACACGATGGTTTTATTTGCGACATCCTAAAACCCTTTTGAATTACAACTGGCTTAATTTTGATATAGTATAAGAATATTAACATAAAAATTATGTTTAATATTTAGTTTTAGAATAATTTCAAGCATAAAATAATTGTTTAATGAAATATGTATTTGTCTATAACTTGTAGGAGGGATTCTATGAAATTAATTTTATGTTAAGCGTAAATATCTATTACCTAGAAAGAGATTATTTACATAGCTGTTTTGAGTATCAATTATAACATATATAACGACAGATTAGTTATATAGTGTACCAATACAATTAGCTTTTGTTATACTGATCAAATTTTATTTATATCTATTATTTAAAATTTTTGACGAATATTTTCATTGTATCCACGAATTTAAGAGATATAGAAGTAACAAAAGTCGAAACAATTCCATACATTCAATAAACAGTCTAAAGTTTTGCAATTTACTTTATCTTGTACTTTAAAACGTCATTAATAGTATGGAATAATAATTATCATTCATTGCTTGTTATCGTCTTATAAATTATAACGTCAAGTTATCAGTATCGGCAATTCCATTATTTTCATGTGATCGTTTACTTACTTCGATATAATGATACACTTTCGATATTATTTTTCCTATCTGTGCCATAATAATATTTGCACTTTGAGTCAATTTCAGAAAATTGTTATATCAGAACAAAATTATGTACTTTGCCGCCAAATTAATTATTAAAACTTACGTCAACAATACGACGTTTTAATTTATGCAAATAAATATACCTATATATCATATAATGTACCTTTTGATATAATGTAGATACTAAAATAGATACGTCACGTTTTAGAAAGAGCTTAATATGTAACAAATAAAGATAAATATTTGGACTTCGAAACAAAGAAATCACAGTGATTGGTCGCTAACTCGCTAAGTGACAGTCGTAGTGAGGCGCTGCCAGTGAGCAGTCCACTGCGCATGCGCTGTAACTATATTGTTAGAAATCTTATTTTATACTTCGTTCGTAGTAAAATTCAAAAATGTCGAAGGTATTACTGAGTCGAGAACTGCCGGATATTGAGGTCAGTTGGTAAATAAGTAACGTATTGATGTTAACTACATTCGTAAAGTCACACAAATCATTGAGTATGGTATATTTGGTTTAACAGCAACATATTGTATATTTTATTAATGTTTACTATTCATGTCTTGTTAGAAAAAAGAAACGTCCTTGGATTGTTTACATACATTGCGAAAATTGAAAGTCTTTAACCTTTTTATTATGACCTCATTCATATTATAAAACTTAGTTTCATTAATTATATAATAGTTTTTATATAGTAATTAATATCCCGCTTATTATTCTAGAACCTTCTTAAGCTTAACCCGACTGTTAAGCCATATACCAACCTGGTGCCGTCAGTTCAGACGAAGAAGAATAAACAACACTGGAAAAGAAATGCGGATAGAAAATGCACTGTAAGTAATCACATTTTTCTTAAAATAACATAAAAATTTATAAAATAAGAACAATTTAATTCATATTTAACGAAAAAATATATACATATTTTAAATTTCTAATCACAGAAGATTTATATTATATTATGTATATCATGTTTCTTGTTGAACAATATTTTAGTCGAAACCTTTTAATAAGATATGGATTTTAAAACTAAACGATAATTCTCAGATATTATCATTGTAGGTACTTAAAACTATAACGTATCTTTTTCAAATACACCTAGTTGCTTAATCCCTTACTACGAGTTGATATCATAAAACTAAATATGAATCGTTGTCAGTCTTTTACTTATAATCCTACGTTGATAAAAACCATTCACACTTTTGATAAAAATACAGATAAACTTTAATTAATATTTGACCAATCCGAAGTATGCCTACACAATTTTTTTATATATTGTTTACTAAATTATCGAGATCAGTTAATTACGCGTCATCTTATAAAAAAGGTATGACGACTGAAATTATATAAATGAAAACAATAAAACGTTTTTATTAACTTATTTATGTTTAATTACAATTATTGATTAAAAAGTATTAAAAAAAAAAAACATAAAACTGTCATTACTTAATTACGTACTTGCTTACTTGTATACCGTTCTTACTTACTACATCATTTTATCGTTTAATATTATACCTCTTAGGGATACGAGTTATTACGAAATCCAAATCAAATATTGTATCACAACATTATGTTTAAGATTTATATTATCATTAAAAATATATGTTTATATATGATAGATAAGCGCGATAATTTGTTACTAACATTGATTAACGGGAATTTTATTTGTTGTTTTTAAAAGACTTGTCCAACACTCGAGAGGAATTTCGATGACATCAAACACACGACATTGTCCGAGCGCGGTGCGTTGAAAGAAGCGGCGCGTTGTTTAAAATGTGCTGACGCGCCCTGTCAGAAATCCTGTCCAACACAAATCGATGTCAAGAGCTTTATAACAAGCATAGCTAATAAGGCAAGTTTATTTTGACACATAGAAAATACATGAACACTTTCAGATTTGTTTTTAAATGTTCATCGTCACTTCTAATGTCCTAAAAAATTGCTGAAGCCAGTATTTATAGTTTTCAAATACAAGTTGACATTTAAATGTTGCCATTACAAAATTACAATGGTTCAGTATTAAAATTAATTACAATCAATCATAAAAATATATTATATGTAATTAGTATAGCACGGATGGCACAACTTGTAAGATAGAAATGTTTATTAATTAATCAAAATATACTCATATTTTTTTAGTCCAATGGATAACATAAAATTTGTTGTAACTCTTTAAATTTAAAATACAATAAAAATCACCCAATGACTAAGGAATAAAACTATCAGCACACTGCAAAATATATAGCAGTGTGATCTTATTTTATCAATTTCATTTATATTTTCAGAACTACTATGGCGCCGCCAAAGCAATTCTTTCAGATAATCCCTTAGGTCTCACTTGTGGAATGGTTTGCCCAACCAGTGACTTGTGCGTCGGTGGATGTAACTTACACGCGAGTGAAGAGGGCGCCATTAATATTGGGGGGTTACAACATTTTGCTGTTGAAGTAAGCATAAAAAAATATCAAAAACTAAATACATAATATATCAAAACGCATTAATTGTCAATAAAATATCACTATCACGATTTATCGAATATCGACCTATTTTCGCAATATTATGTTTTATATATAATTGTTTTTAGACTTTCATGAAAATGGGCATCTCTCAAACATTGGATCCAAAAACCAAACCTTTGCCTCGAGGTGATAAAAAAATTGCTCTGATAGGCGGCGGACCGGCTAGTTTGAGTTGTGCTTGTTTCTTGGCAAGGATGGGTTATAAAAATATTACGGTGTTCGAGAAAGAACAGTATCTTGGAGGACTTAGGTAAAACTTCTTATTAAGTGAAATCAATATATCTATACTAAAATATACATAAAACTGACTTTAAAATGAGTAACACAAAAAACAAATTAATCTCACAGTCTATCTGTCAATCTTCAAATATCTTTGTAACGAATAATCCATATAAATGTAATGTATATAGAGTGTATAGTAACCCATAGACTAACCAAATCCAGTAATTATTATATTATCTATTATACACTTATACAAAGCCTTTTATTGAAGTTGTATAACTAACTCGTAATCTCAGCTGTACAATTGAATCAACTTTACTATTTTTCAAATCTTTGAAATTGCCATACATTTTTAATTCGCTTCAGTGTTGCCATGATTCAATACAGACTATTTTTTCTTTTTAATTTAAAACCGTTATTATATTTGTAGTTCATCAGAGATCCCCCAGTATCGACTTCCATATGACGTGGTTCAATTCGAGATCGATCTCATCAGGGACCTCGGAGTGAAGTTCGTCACAGGAAGGAAACTTTCAACCAGTGATATAACTGTTAATGTAAGTTTTATATAACCATTTATAGATGACCCTTTTATTGAACTTAACATTTCCATACCAGAGACCTTTTAAAGATGGTCAAGATACTGTCTTACTGAGTTATGGACATAACCATTTATTGATGATCCTATCATTAAACTTATCATTTCCATTCCAGGGACCTTTTAAAGATGGTCAAGATACTGTCTTAATGATTCATGAACATAACCATTTATTGCTGACCCTATTATTGAACTTAATGTTTCCATTCCAGGGACTTTTTAAAGATGGTTTTGATGCTGTGTTTCTTGGCATCGGTCTACCCGAGCCAAAAAGCATTCCTATCTTCGAAGGTCTAACTCCAGAAATGGGATTCTATACTAGCAAACAGTTTCTACCTTTAGTGTCCAAGGGCAGCAAAAGAGGTACGAAGATATGTATAGATTAACAAATCCTATACATTTCTGTTACTTAAAAAAAGATACTTATGTGATATAAATACGAATACAAAAATCCATAGAGTTTTTTAGTTTTGTATGATTTCACATTTAAGGAGAATTTATAGTGAAAATAATTGCAAAAGTGACAGTTTTTATTAATTTTAAATATACAAGCATACATTTTTGGTATTAAATTGTTAAATTTTCTGTTCTCAAATAAATACTCATCATCTGTAAGCATTAAAAACATTTCTCTATATTTTACCAGCTTTAGTTAAACTCACACCGCGTCAATAAACACCCCGTACACTACAATACTACCTTTGTATACTCCGCTGCTATCATATTTCCCATTGTCCCAACACATTTTCCAGCTACACTAAACGTTTATTAACACGGAAGTAATTCTCACAACAATTACAATATATTCTTGTATTATTCCACGCTACAATGGACTTATTCTAAGAATTTTGTCATTTTTGCGAATCCAGGTCCTCAAAATGTTTATACAATGGACTTATTCGCAAATTTTGTGACATTAGCCAATCCAAGTCCTCAAAATGGTCATACAATGAACTTATTCGACTAAATTTGAAATATTAACCAATCAAAACTCTCAAAATGTTCATATAATAAACTTATTCGATTAATTGAGCCAATCAGACGCGTCTTAATCCTTCCAAATGGCCAATCACCAGGTCTATGTAGCTGTTCGTCATTGCCGGTTCTGTCTGGTAATGTATTGGTTCTTGGCGCGGGAGACACTGCCTTCGACTGCGCCACGTCAGCCCTCCGCTGCGGCGCAAAGAAAGTGTTCGTGGTATTCAGAAAGGGCATCACTCATATAAGAGCTGTTCCCGAAGAGGTTAGATCACTATTAAGAACTAGCTTTCCGCCCGCAGCTTCGCCCGCCTGGATTTAGTTATATCGCGTCTCCAAGAGAACCTTTCGAAAGTCTGGGATAAAAACTATCCTATGTTCTTTCTCAAGGTCAACTCTATGTACCAAATTTCATTAAAATCAGTTCAGTGGTTTAGGTGTGAAAGCGTAACAGACAGTCAGAGTTACTTTCGCATTTATAATATTAGTAGGGATAAAATCCTTACAGTTTCATTGAATTTTATGATTTTATCGGCATTCGATCATAACTTCAGAGAATACTTTGTCAGAATGAGCCTTTTGCTTTAGTTAAGAATATAATGCTCAAGCCTTCATAGAATTTTATGACTGTCAGAATTGGATTATAATTTCATAGAATATTCAATCTTTTGCTTAAAATTATTCCATCTAAATGTGATTTATATGGAATTTAATTAAGGATATATTATATATGTGAATGTTTTTATAGGTTGATCTGGCTAAGGAAGAAAAATGTGAGTTCATACCATTTATGTCGCCGCAAGAAGTAATCGTTAGAAACGGAAAGGTACTTATTGGATATTCACGTTATTATGGTTTCTATATGATAAATAAATAAATGATTTTTAAATGATTTTTTTCAGATAACTGCCTTAAAAATGTTCCGAACTGAACAATTAGATAATGGAGAATGGATCGAAGACCCAGATCAAGTGTTACAGCTGAAGGCAGACTTCATCATATCCGCGTTCGGATCTGGACTTTATGATGAAGACGGTAAGGTTGAAAATTTAATGCACTGTCTTTATTATATACAATTTTATATACCATTGAAATTTATAATACTAGCTTTCCGCCCACAGATTCCCCCGCGTTGAGTTCGGTTATATCGTGTTTCCAAGAGAACCTTTCAAAAGTCTGGCCTAAAAACTATCCTATCATCTTTCTCAAGGTCAACTCTATGTCTAAACCAAATTTCATTAAAAAAATTTCACTGGTTTAGGCGTGAAAGCGTAACAGACAGACAGACAGTCACTTCCGCATTTATAATATTAGTAGGGATATATCTTTAGTTTTTGATACTCCGTAGCTATCGGATTTGAGTGCTATTTATGTCCAAAAAAAATTCAAATAATCTTCAAAATTGCCTAAAAAAATATATAATATGTATGTAAAATTTATAATAATTTTGTATTTCAGTGAAACAAGCGATGGAAGGTGTTAAATTAAATAGCTGGGGTCTTCCCGAAATAGATAATACTTGTATGCAGAGTTTGAGCAACCCAAAAGTGTTCATTGGTGGTGACTTGGCCGGCGTCGCTGAAACTACCGTCGAATCCGTTAATGATGGAAAAACAGCCGCTTGGTACATGCATTGTTACTTACAGGTACATATATAAAGAATATACATATATAAGGATATATAGTTAAGAAACATCGTCGTCAGCTTATCAGAGCGCACTGCTGAGCAAAGGCCAATTCTCACATGGAGAAGGTTTGAGCATTAATTACCACGCTTGCTCAAGACGGATTGGTGATTTCAAACTTATAATTGTGAAACTATAAGTCCAGGTTTCCTCACGATGTTTTCCTTCATATATCAGTGATGTCTAAATACTCTTAGAGTACATATGACTTGAAAAATCACATTGGTACTTGCCAGGATCGAAGCCGTTAACTTTATAAAATCATAATATACAGAAAAATATTTAAAGCCAGTTAAATAATTTTTATATTAAAAAAACTTACAAAAATACAACTTTATAAAATCAGAATATATATCGTAATTCATATAGAAAAATGTTCTAAACAAGTTCAATTATTTTCATTTATATAAAAAAAAACTTACAAAACTTCCATCCATACGAAAATCATGTACTAAAAATGAAATCAATCCTCGTATTACAGGGTATACCATTCTCAGCGGCCATTGAACTGCCAAAATTCCATACGCAGATAGATGAAGTGGATTTATCAGTTGAGGTCTGTGGTATCCGGTTTGAGAATCCCTTCGGCCTAGCGAGTGCTCCGCCAACCACCAGCTCAGCAATGATAAGAAGAGCCTTCACACAAGGCTGGGGCTTCGTTGTCACTAAGACCTTCGGGCTTGATAAGGTTAATATTATCGTATACTATCTGCTTACCTGGCAATTTCCCAGTTATAGCCAGGGTCTGCCTCACATGTTGTGAATAGTTTTGGCTATTTGTTTTTACGGCCGCCTGCCTGACATCAACCCTCTTTTGGGTATTATCGTATACTATCTGTGAATCTAGATTCAAGTACCAAAACTCTAAGTCAGTTATACAGTATGTTAAGTAACAGAGGGCGTTCCCTTGAACTCGTTAATATATATCACTGATAGATTAAAATAAATATATCAGCATAAAATAATCTTTACAGTACTTATTCATAAAAATAACGTATTTTTTTATAATTTAACAATTCTAGTAAAACATACATAACGTAAAATTAAGATTGGGCTTTTACGTCTCGACGTTTTAAATACATATAATCCTGAATCACGATAACTATTTACATTGATATTTAGTATCAAGACAAAGGTTAATTTTATTCAGCCAAAAAAAACATAAAACCTTCTTTGTCCTTAAATATACCTGGCCATAATGTTTTTTTCAGGATCTCGTCACTAACGTGTCACCTCGTATAGTACGCGGCGTGACCTCGGGAGAGAACTACGGACCCGGACAAGGATCCTTCTTAAATATTGAGCTCATCTCAGAAAAATGTCAAGCTTACTGGTGTCAGAGTATTACGGAACTAAAACGGGACTTCCCTACTAAGGTTACCATTATACATTCCTAACTTTCCGCCCCCAGCTTCGCCCGCGTGGAGTTCGGTTATTTCGCGTTTCCAAGAGAACCTTCCAAAAGTTTGGCATAAAAACTATCCTATGTTCTTTCTCAAGGTCAACTCTATGTCTGTACCAAATTTCAATAAAATCAGTTCAGTGTTTTAGACGTGAAAGCGTAACAGACAAACAGATAAACAGAGTTACTTTCGCATTTATAATATTAGTAGGCATGACGAGTTTAATTTTGTTTATATTATATTAGACTAATTTGAATTTTCATTTCTTACTGACTAAAAGAAATCTTATTTTTCTAGAATAGATCCCGTAACTGAAACTAATTATGAGTACTTGAAAACTCTTCAAATTTTAATACGATATCTACTAAATATCGCAATTAATTTAAATCAAATAAAGTTTGAATTCCAAAATTAAAATTTCCTATGTTCGAAATTCAAATTGTGTTTTCATATACATTCTGTGTCCAGGTGATAATAGCGTCTATAATTTTAATCAAATAAAGTTCGAATTCCAAAATTAAAATTTCTCATGTTCGAAATTCAAATTGTCTTTTGATATCACATATTATGTATGTAGGTGATAATAGCGTCTATAATGTGTTCATACAATGAAGACGACTGGACGGAGCTGGCGAAGAGAGCCGAGGCGAGCGGCGCGGACGCTTTAGAACTCAACCTGTCCTGCCCGCACGGTATGGGAGAGAGCGGGATGGGGCTAGCGTGTGGACAGGTACGTACTAAGAAAATGAAACAGAAGTATGTAGTATGATATGAGAGTACATCAAGACAGTTTACCTCTGACGTCATTAAATATAGCAGATACATAATAAGAATAAATTTAATATAATTATTACGTTGTATATTTGATTATATTTTAAAATACTAATTAAGGTTTAAAGATTATACTGACACGGATTGATTCTGATTTTAATCAGACATAATATGTAGCTAAGAACTGACACCTAATGAAAATAATTGTATTAAAATCAGCGGTACCACTTGCTAACTGTAATTCACACGCATATACAGCGTGTATGAAAAACTGTGTCAACCCTTGAAGGCATGTATACATATAAGTATAAACTTATTATAAAAAATAGTATAACTTAAAAAATATCAAGCAGAGGTCAGTTACAGTGCATAGGCTAAATAAGTTTTAAATCGACATTATTTGAAAAAATGTTTCAAACATCTGACCCATACAAGGTCAAGGCCCCGTATAGTCGCGCCGGCGCATGCGCGGCCTTTGATCGCAGGCGCCGGCCGCTGGCGTGGCGCACTCGTCTTTTGTTAGTGTTTCAAATAGAAATTTGCAAGTTTAAAAATTACGTTTATCGATAAATATTCTATCGACATTTTCAGTATTGCTATAAGTAGTTGTACTTTTCACATTAAAATAATTTCATTTAAAATTACTTTTATTAATAATAAATATTATTAATCAATATTATAATTTGGAACTTCTTCAGGTAAATTAACTATGTTGTATTATAAGATAAATCGTTAATCTACTTCTGTTAATAATGGTGTTTTACAATCAAAAATAATATTAATGTTTGATATATCAAAATAAGCATCGAAACAATGTGAATATTAAATATTCATTTATTGTTATGATTTTTTAAATATCGATATTTTCAATAATGTGAAAGTAACTTCGAGTTCGTCACTAGTAGCGCAGCAGCTGTGATGACGTCATTGTGTGTCATCGTGTTATACCAGGGCTTACAAACATTTTGTTACTCTACATATAATAATCATTTAATATTTAATTTTATTATTTTTATTGAAGAGTTTGTAAATGTAAGTTGTTTTATTGTGTTACATTTTCGATACTGATAACGAAGTTAAGAGGGTTGACACAGTTTTTCATACAGCCTGTATGTACATCATACTTATAACACCTATTTATTTGGTTCGGCAATTAAAAAACTCTTTAAACAAACATAAGTATTGAGTAACTGAATATATTATAACGTTTCTTATATATTATAAATGATTTTTAAATTTCTTTTATCGTGTTTAGGACCCAGTGCTCGTGAAAGGTATCTCCCAGTGGGTGCGTAAGGCTGTAAACATACCGTTCTTCGTGAAGCTGACTCCCAATATAACTGATATAGTAGCAATAGCGACCGCTGCTTATGAAGGTACTTGGACATTTTACATTTAATCTACTTCTATGTACATACTACATAAGTACTTGTCTTTTTTAAGCTATGGCTTAATTCGTACAAGAGTTGTGAAATATTATGCCAATGTGTTTTTCATATGTTGGACGAATTTTAATCTTTAGTATTGTGGTCTGTGAGGATAAAACATGTAATTGTTGAAAATATATGCATGCATGCATTTATTTAACTTATCAGAATAATACAGATTACAAATTGATGCATCATTTGATAAAATTGTAAGAACTTTAACTGATCGTTTCATTTACATACTTATAAATTTACTTAATCAAAATCTTACTCAGAATTACAAATATTATTTCTTTTAAAAACCCTAACTAGATTCTTAAGTAGCTATTAATGAATAATTTTTAAAACGTCTTTACTTTTACCAAAATCTTTCATTTCATTCCAGGTGGCGCTAGTGGTGTGTCAGCCATCAACACCGTTTCCGGTCTAATGACAGTTAGAGCGGATGCTACTCCCTGGCCTCAAGTCGGTAATAATAATAAGATATACTACATCAATATATAATATACAATATACATATATGCCCTCTGGTAATGTAATTATATACTATAATTTGTATCAATTTCATATCTTCATACTTAAACATAAATTTTAATAAACCATACAATTTAATAGAGAACTTAATCTCTTTTTAAGAATTTTTTTTTTACACAAATTACTGACATTTAACTTCCAACCCTATATAAGAAAAAAATCTTATTTGTAATTTAAAAGCCGTCACAATAGTAGTATAAACATTAATTACATATTATAAATATCTCAATGTAATGAGATCTAAGATTTACGTGAGTTTTATTAACACTTATCACGGTTGATGAAAAGTAGCCGAAACGACGGGAGTATGTACCTAGTTTTTTACAAAAATATTAGTTTCATTTAAATATATCTCAATGTAGCTACATAATTCATATCTTTATATATATGTATAATTCTTCTGTGAGTGTGTATGTCACTGAACTTCTCTCAAGCGACTGGACCGATTTTGATGATATTTTTTGTGTGTGTTCAAGGGAATCTGGGAATGGTTTAGATTCACAATTTTGTCCGCTGGACAATGTTTTTTTAATTAATTTTTAATTTATTAGTAGTTGTTGATACAAACGTTTTTTTACATTAGATTTGACAACTAACTAATATGTCAATATTTCTATGGCACTTCAAAACACGGAGATTTATGGCTTTAATAGGTAAACTCCAAAAATAGAAATAGAAAAACGTAACGGATATTTCTTGATTATAGAGCGATACGAAGTTCGCCGATCTTCTAGTGTATATATATATATATATATATATATATATATATATATATATATATATATATATATATGTTGTAGGTCGCGAGAAAAGCACAACATACGGCGGTGTATCTGGTAACGCGACCCGGCCTATGGGTCTACGAGCGGTGTCCGCCATCGCTAACAAGTTACGGGGATTCCCCATACTCGGTATAGGAGGCATCGACTCAGCGGATTCAGCCTTGCAGTTCATTATGTGTGGAGCACCTGTCGTTCAGGTACGTTCACCTTCTACCTGGCAATTTCCCAGCTATAGCCAGGGTCTGCCCTACATGTTGTGAATAGTTTTGGCTAATTGTTTTAACGACCGGCCGCCTGCCTGATATCAACCCTCTTTTGGGAATGCATTAATCAGTGATGTCTAAATTAATATACGTTCCGAAATCTTATATGCTTATAAAGACTTGGGGCAATTCAGAACTAATATCAATTTTTTTGGATCGTACTCCGAAGCAACACTAGTAGATTAGTTTCAAATTTAATTTAATTAAGAGAGAGGATCTTGGACAGTGGAGGTGAGCGTTTAACGCGCGTTATATAGGGGTCCCTTAAACCTATACCTGAGTCGCAAGTCCCAGGCACTGTTGAAGCTCCTCTCCCTACAACGATGGACCCGACACCCGCACGGTGAATACATGGAATGATGAGAAGTTTCGTCTCAATAATAATTTATAAACTCTTTATTTTAATGGCCCCGTGTATAAGGGTCAATGTGCAAAATAAAAAAAATTCAGTAGAGGTATTTAAAGTTTGATTTCAATGTATCTTGTACATGGGACAACTGATGCTTTTGAAACTTTGCATACCAACTATGACATACATGTACGTCATTTAAGTTTGATAAACTTTTTTGTTAAACCTGTTAATTTTTTACATAATGTATATAAGCCCTTATACGTTAAAAAGTGTTACATATGCCCTTTTACTGAAGAAATAAAAACTAAGTCTTTCCACCAACAAATACGCATTTTATTAAATGGATGTTGTGGAATACAGTATTATGAAGTGTTTTAAGCTAAGAAATTAAAATGGCGAAATTGCTACATTGGCCCTTATCCATAGTACCCATCGATTTATCGATGGGTACTATGTTTATATATATAAGTAAACCAGCTTTCCGCAGCTTCGCCCGCCTTGAGTTCGGTTATATCGCGTTTCCAAGAGAACCTTTCAAAAATCTAGCGTAAAAACTATCCTATGTTCTTTCTCAAGGTCAACTCTATCTCTGTACCAAATTTCATTAAAATCAGTTCAGTGGTTTAGACGTGAAAGCGTAACAGGCAGACAGACAGAGTTACTTTCGCATTTATAATATTAGTAGGGATTGTTTACAGATCTGTAGTGCGGTTCAAAACCAGGACTTCACCGTAGTTGAGGATTATATAACAGGTCTTAAGGCGCTTCTGTATTTACGATCTATGGGCCTCCAAGGATGGACGGGGCAGTCCCCGCCTACCAACAAACATCAGAAGGGAAAACCGGTGCAAACTATATGTGATGAAAACGGAAAGGTGAATTTAAAACTCAATTAAGATAATGGTTACCTAAAATCATATTTATAAACTGTTTTACATATTGAAATCCAAGCTTTAAAACATAAACAATTATTAGTTATCTAATCTCATGGAAACTAATTAAAAATTATATTAAATTCCAGGTGTTAGCACACTTCGGTCCTTATATTAAGAAACGCGAAGAAATACTTCACAAGCAGCGTTTAAATACTGATATTTTAGCTGACAACTCTATAGAATATTCACGTGGGAATATCAACGGAAATAGTTTGGTGCCAAGGATCAAAGATATTGTTGGTGAAGCTTTAAGCAGAATCAGTACATATAAAAAACTAGACAATACAAAACAAGTTGTCGCCTTGATTGATGATGTGGGTAGTTTACTATTTTGTTACATATTAATCATATAGTAATTTAATAACATCATTACTATTTAAACTTCTATTAATAGTATTTTGTTATTTTTTTATTTTATGATTAATAGTTTTTATATATCATTTATTATCTTTCAGGATATGTGTATTAACTGTGGTAAATGTTATATGGCGTGCGCGGACTCTGGATACCAGGCTATTGAGTAAGGTTCATTTATATAAAAATGTATTTTTAAATATTTAAATACTTTTATTATATTTTATGTATTATTTACGGAACAATTAAATTGATTAATTAAAGTTATATGTTTCTTATAAATTACTAATAATTGAATTAATTTCAGATTCGATGAACAAACTCACATTCCTCATGTTACTGAAGACTGTACTGGCTGTACTTTGTGTTTATCCGTTTGTCCTATCATCGACTGTATATCGTGAGTAAAGTTTTTTACACAAACACACACATACTCACATTTTTAATTTTTATATATAAGTACAATGTGAACTATAAGATTTTTTTTTCTGTTCAGAATGGTTCCAAAGAAAATACCACACGTCATAAAACGAGGGCTTCACTACGAGATACACCCTGTATCGCCATTGGATGGAGTTTGTCAATAAAATACAACAATTTTGTTATAAATAATGTAATAAAATATATACATATAACAATAATATTTCAGTTTCTATTATTCTCAACTCTTTTATATATATCCTCTGCCCTTTCTTTAGCTCGGTACCACGAATACACCCAATCGTTTGACGGATTCACTTGTAAAGTTAAAGCCGATATTGGTTTGGGGCAATTGTAATGACTTTTATTTATTATCTGTGGTGAAAAGACCTTTTGACGCATCTCATGAATACGTTTACAAACAAAACATTCAAATTTATTCGCGGCTAAAATATGATCTCTTTGCCACGGCTTCGTATTATAATCTTCTAGCAATCTCTGATTGTTTATTTGTTTGTCGATTTTATGTATCAAATGACTATTATATAAATTATCGTCGTTAATTAATCGGTTTAAATATTCACTCATTCGTTGCGGCGTCGGATGATCTTCGATTAGTATTGCGGATTTTTCATTCGGCAACCAATCTCGTATAGTTGGTGAACCGAAGTAAATAGGTACACTACCTACCTTGATAGCTCGCCAGAGCTTCTCCGTTATATAATCATCACAAACGCCATTTTCTATGGCTATCACGAATTTATACCTAGAAATAAAGTGAAGAAAATCATCATCGTTCAAATTGTTCAAATAGTCATCTGTAAATCTTTTTGGCATCTCCTTATTTTTCAAACAGGCTCCATATGAATCAATCTTAATATATTTCATCAATTCCTTTACATATTCATCTCTTTCTGTAGCAGTTTCGCAATCCGTTTGTAAGTAAAGTATAGGGGATATGTCTTTGAGTAATTCATTTTTATCTTTCGTCTTAACGAAATACTTAGTAGTTGTGATATCGTCCAAAGATTCTAGATATTGCAAAGGAAACTGTACATCGCTGTATCTGCTGAAAGTAGCTGAATAATTGAATAAATAGAGACCATTCTCATGCATTAATTCCTCAACATTCCTTGGTGATTCCTCATGATAAAGTCCCCAAATATCATTCACTTTCCTTGGCAACGGCAAGTCTTCGAACTCAATGTTGCTTGCATAGAAAAGGAAAGCATCAACATTTGGTATTTTCACTTCATTTCTAGAATAAATATCACACTTTACATCCTGACAGGACAATGTACCAGTTGTCCCGGGGAACCCTAAAGTCCACCATAGAAGAATAGGATTTTTTAAACTTGTATCATCTTTATTTACTGTTTGAGATGTCCATGCATAATAAATAAATAATGTTAATAACCCCAAACACATCCACAACACTTCATACAGTGTCAATTTCAGTATCCTCTTTAAAATTCTACCAGAAATTTTGAAAACAAAACACATAACACCCTTCAGTCTATACATTTTTAAATATATATTAAATGTAACTGTATTCACCACAGGATATTAACAATAGGATATCCTGAATAGATAATTTACTTTTAAATGAAAGATAAATATTTACAAACAAATAAATTTAATCAAAGAGTTATTCCTCTCTCTTTGTGCATATAATATCCATCCAAACAGAATGCAATAATTAAATCTATATAAAAAAGTCCATATATAGCACCAGTAATTTTCCCAACGAGGAACAGATTCACTAAGGCTATTACGGTTAGTATGAGTTCAATAACTATATAGTACAATTCAGCCTCATATTGAACCTGATCGACGACATATAGCACCATTATATACATGGAAGTCATAAGGGTGGGTCCGGCAACCAAGCATTGCCATAAGTCCACTGGCTCCACAATATGAGGTATTATATTGAGCAGAAGAGCCACTACCTAAAAGTAAGATTTACTTCCTTCAACATATATCATACAAAATCTATGTAAATAAAAACTTTTTTAACAATAACAACATATCAAGTACAATATAGATTTATTAATGCCACTAAGGATCATAAAAAATTATACATCCTCTTTCTTTAATAACATAATACTGATCTATACACAGTGCTATAAGTAAATGACAGTAAAAAAGTCCATAAAGTGCACTAGATGGTTCACTCTCAAGGAACACAACGGCGATCGCACTTATATTAAGAATGATAAGGAAGAACAAGTAAAGTTGTTCAGCCAAGTTATGGACTTGGTCCACTAAGTAGAGCACGACGAACATAACAGACATGACGAGCGCTGGCGCTACCGCCAGGCAATGCATGACGCCGGCATCGCTCAAAACAAATGGAATTATCATGAGGAGCATTGACATTACCTAAAAGTAAACACGATTCTATCATTTCGTGTCGGGACTTTGGTACAGTGTCATTACTAATTTATTTCTTTTAACTTTATAGCCTGGTTTTGGTTTTATGTTTAGAAAAGCCTTGTAAGATCGCCTAGTCACTATTTTAAGGCTACTTTTAAATACATGTAAGACTAATAGTAGACATTTCAATTATTAATGTATTCCGAAGATCAAGTGATTTTTTGTTTGTCCTTTTTTATTATAGGTCCTAACTCCTAAACTTGCAACATGTGACAGAAACATAAATTGTAGAATGTCAATGTCAATTGTCAAACGGGTACGGAGAAATATGCCGTTTATTTGTTTTTATCTTCCTATAAGCTCAAGAGTATTTATAAGTTGATATTTCTATAAAAAATAAAACAATTTTTTCGTAAAACGTCATTATATTATTATTATTAATTCATATCCAGTAAAAGTAAACTATAAAGCTATGCGCAGCTGAATGTACAACCTCTTTCGTTTGCAATCAAGAATAAATCTAAAGAGAGAGCTGTTAATAACGCAAAATAAAAAACACCGTATATTAACCATAACCAAACCCTTACAAGATTTAAAAGAAAACACTGAACAAAAGCTCCAAATGTAAATAGAATTTGAAAAAATAAGTACATCTTTTCCATAAAAAGCGGTACCTTCCTCCGCATGTATAACATTATAAATAAAAAAGATATAACGAGTGTAGGGCCTGTTGATATGCAGTACATATGCCCTTGTGGCTTTGGGATCGCCATTGGTAATAATGTTATCAAAAGTGATATCACCTATAAAGAATTATTTGCAGTCTAAAGATCTAAATACTATAAAATAAAATTAACTTCTGTAATTCTTAGAATTGATACTTACAAACTCAACCAATTTCATGATAAAAATATTATATCTGATAAGTTCACTCCACTTTTTATCCACAGGAACAGAATCTTAAAAAAAAGAGATATATACAATTTACAAACTAAGTTTGCATTTACTTTTTTTTTAACGAAATAATTGTTTTTGAAAATCATACCATTAATTATCATATCAGACATGTTGATAGTGATTTGTCGAACTTGTTTTAAAACAATTTAGAGATTCATTTTAAGGATCATAAGCTGGCAAATAAAATGTTTTATTCAACTCATAAAATTAAAATATCCTTTATAAATCGTAATAAAATATACAGAAGATGCGAAATACTTCAAAAGTCACATTATTGTTTTTTTGAAAAGTTTCTATGCTTCATATTCATCTGTATCGTTTCAAAAATAATATCTTTTATAATTATGTATTGGTTAATAAAATTTCTCAATTATATTATTTGATAAATATATTCAATATTTGTTCTTTTGTTGATATTTCTTATTAAAATATTGTGTTTTAAATAAATGATCCATGTTTTATGAATATTCTTTAATTGTATGTACTTCTGTTGTACTTGTATTATCACCATGATTAAAATGTCAATCTTAACCTATGTCAACAGTCAAACTCATTGTCAATAGTCAAAACTTAGCGTGAAGTGTTAATTTATATTAAATTATATATCTAAGCATATTAAAGTAATGGATTAGTTATTTATTAAACATAATATATTTAACTAGTACAATATGGACGAGGAGGATCCGGTTGTCCAAGAGGTAATATTATTGTTTGACGTAACATGTTTTTAGTATTCAGGTTATGTTTATTTGTACAAAATAATATTTTTACCAGATCCCGGTCTATCTATCACAAGCGCTTGCAGAGCATTTGTATATATATCAATACCCGGTCAGACCGGCGAATAGGGATTGGAAAGATATCAAAGTTATAAATGCCTCTATAAAACCAAAAAATCAACTTGTGCGAATGGAAATCGGTCTGGACACGTATAGTGAAAAGTATTGTCCTTCCAAAGGCGAACAGATAGCATTGAATACTGATGGACCACAGGTATGTCTGAAAAAATATGTTTTTTTACCTTTTTTTTTACATATAATAATTTCTTAATGATTCTGCAGGAATCAAAATATATTAAAGATAAAGAAAAAGAGAGATCTCAGTATTTTAGAAATGGTATAATGGACAAGATTGTGTATGAGAGCAGCTCACCGTGTTTAGAAACGAAGCATTATGCTGTAGCTATACTACAGGATAAAGAATTACATTGTACACCTATAAAAGGTAAGATTGACAAAAAATTTTTTTATCGTAAAATAAGTTTAATATCATCAGTTGGTACTGAAGTACAACCAAAGAAAAAAAAACATAAGTAAAATTGACACCAATATGTCTGTAACATTAAATTATATTCTGCTAAAGTTATTTATATTTCTACACTTTACTTGTCATACTGTTTATGTACAAAATTTAAAACTACGGTTTTTGTGACTATAACCTAATTGTAGGTAGAATATTATAATTACACAATTAGAGGCAATAATATAGTTATTAAAAAGTCATTGGTGTCCTAGTGGTTAACAGGCCGGCCTCTCACGCTCGAGAGCGCGGGTTCGATCCCTGGCCCAGGCAAGTACCAATGTGATTTTTCTGAGTCATATGTACTTTCTAAGAGTAGACGTCACTGATTAATGCATTCCCAAAGAGGGTTGATGTAAGGCAGGCGGCCGGTCGTAAAAACAATTAACCAAAACTATTCACAACATGTAAGGCAGACCCTGGCTAAAGCTAGGAAATTGCCAGGTAGAAGAAGAATATAGTTATTGATATCTAAGACTTTCATAAGTGTTCATTGAAAAAAAATTAATATTTAAGTATTTACTATGTGTTTTTAATCATTCTCATCTTGTCTGCCCGTGATCACGGTTGCTACAAAGTAACTGAAACATCGGGAGTATATAGTAAAACTAATTATAAATTCATAGTGAATCAGAACATTTTTATTTCAATATAGTTATTACTTGTTAAGAATCGGGCACATGCTTACATTTTAAAATTACTTTAAACATTTTAAAATGTATGCAAAATAATATGATTGCCAGGTATTTGTCAGCTAAGGCCGTCATATTCATATTTTGATAAGCAAGATAAAAGGAAGGTTGACAAGAGCAAAGCTGAGAATTCAGATGACGAGGAAAAAGAATCCGAACCACAACAGGTAGAGGACTCGTAGATAATATAAATTTAATATGTGTTTTCATATAATAATGTTATTAACACAATTATGAGTTTCTATTAGAAACTATAGATTGTAAAGGTTGATTGATTGATCATTGATCCCAGCGGGATTGAAAGCAGATATAACACTATTTTCTGGAGTTTGCAGGATCTAATCCCAGTTCTGACAATTAATTTTTTCATACTATATTGTCTTATTTAAATTTAACATGTTTAGTACTTAACAATGATATTATTTATATTCAAAATGTCTTATCGCAACAAAAGTTGTAAATTTTCTTAATCTTTTCGTTTTATTGTAATAGGTGACTGTAAAGTTCTCAAGAACGGAAACGGATGTTGCGAAGAAAGCGAGGGAAAAATCATACGAATCTATTTCACAGAAGATAGCTAATGAACCCTGGTATGATGCATTCTGGAGAAAATTGGATGATGATCATGCTGATGTGAGTAAATGAACTATAGAGAAATTAACGTTTTAAATATACCTATATATGTACTATATTTGTAAAGTTAAATTTTTATTACTTTTATATTCTATATATACTTTAGTCAGTGGTGGTTTAGTGGTTACTGGTTAAAAGCCCGCCTCTCATGCACTAGGGCGCGGGTTCGGTCCTGGCAAGTACCAATGTGATTTTTCCGAGTCATATGTATTTTCTGATAGTATTTAGACACCACTGACAGACGGTGATGTAAAACATCGTGAGGAAACCTGGACTTACAATTATAAGTTTGAAATCACCAACTCGTCTTGAGCAAGTGTGGTGATTAATGCATTCCCAAAAGAGGGTGGATGTCAGGCAGGCGGCTGGTCGTAAAAACAATTAGCCAAAATTATTTCCAACATGTAAGGCAGACATAATGTATATTTATATATCCATATTATCTATTTATAGTTGGAGCGTCTAAAATTATTCAGCTCGACAACATCAGATGGGTCAGCTTTAACATTGGGTGCAACTGAGTATATAAGCACATTGGTACCTTCACTCACTGACGAAGCTGAAATGACACCAGTTAAGAAGATCTCTTTACAGGATCAGATTAAGGAAATCTTGTTAAATGGTAATGATTTCTATTTATATAATTTTGTCATTAATGCAGTTAGCAAATTCTATAAATATAATTATTGTAGTATCAAATATGTACTTAAATATGCAAGTAACTAGAGATATGCATAAGATAAAAAATGGTCAAAAAAAAATAATATATAAGTGACTTAAGATTATTCAAATTTCATTAAAAGGTTATTAGTAAGAAATCTTTGATAAGTTTTAAATAAAAATATCAAATTGTAATACAAAAACAAATTGTTTCAATATAGCAGTTATTGAAGGAATTTTGATGAAATTGTCCAGTAAAATAACTTCCTTTAGAAAAGACATACAGGTTAAATTATTGTATTTAGTCAGAATTTTATACATGAACACGATAACATTTATATAGTTGTATTTTGTATGCAGATAACAGATGGCGCTGTACACAGTTACCATATCTATTTATCTTAACACACTTCACATAATTGAGTACACATATACTAATATTATACTTGTAATGTTTGTTACTATAACTATTTCTCTCAAGACACTTCACATAATTGAGTATAAATATATTAATATCATACTTGGAGCTGTTCTGTAGTTACTATATCTATTTTTCTCATACTAATGTCATGTTTGTGTTTCCAGCTAAGTTAATGACGTTCACCGAGCTCCGTTCATTAGTTCATACAGATGAGGGTAGTTTAGTGAGTGAGAGCGCCCTCCTCACAGCGCTAGGTGGCGCTGCGTGTTGTGTACGAGGATTATGGACCGCTCGCTCGCAACAGATGTACACACGACCGGCTCCCGCGCCGCCTAGGCTTATGTGCGCGGCTAGAGATCACGTGGTATGTTGCTTTGGAAATGATACTTACATATATATGAGAGTTTACTATGTTTAAATTGCTGTATATATAGAAATATGACCTCCTAGTACTATATTTTATGCTCCTGTATGAGATTTCTATGTTTAATGGCGATATGCACTTAGAAATATGACAGATTAGTGCTATATTCTAGATTGTTTTGACTTTGAAAATGAGTTCTGTATGGAATTTTAGTCAGCCCTACCGCATACATATCGCGCGTGTAACCGTATCTTAAAATAAATAGGATCTCATCCGAGTAGTGTCTAATACTGTGACCTTAATGTTATTGAGGTCCTAAATTATAGCCATTTTTTGTAGGGTATATTTTAGTTCTCCTGTGATATCTGATAACATAACGTCATTTGGAAATGATTTTGTACTAATAAACTATTGCCAATGTGATTAGAGTTTAATTATTAGAACTTGTGGCATCACGTTGTGTGCGTGCGTCTGTTATGGTTAATATTTACATTTTGTGTGTAAATTAACGTTATACAGTTTTTTCTCATTTATCGTGTTTTCAATGTTAACTAGACGCAGATATTCTTATCTATTCTTTATAATAGTTTCTTCCAATTCCTTTTCAATGAAAGAAAAGAGTAGGAAATCGTGAATATATATGAATAAAAATGTTATTGGAAGGTAACAAATGAATTGAGATGGATAAATTTATTTAATACTTAAGTGGAGAGATTCTCTCTCCAGTTGTTCATACAGGAGCATTGCCTCATACAATGACTGCAGCTTGAATTGTATTGATATTAAGACAACTGATAATTTGTATGGTGGCGTATTTTAAGAGTAAAATATATTAGAATTACCTATAATATGTAGTCAGTAGTGGCCTAGTGGTTAAAGGGTCCGCCTCTCGTTACCGAGGGCGCGGGTTCAAGCCTGGCAAGTACCAATGTGACTTTTCGGAGTCATATGTACTTTCTGAGAGTATTTAAACACCACTGACATACGGTGAAGGAAAACATCGTGAGGAAACCTGGGCTTATAGTTTCACAATTATAAGTTTGAAATCCCCAACCCGTCTTGAGCAAGCGTGGTGATTAATGCTCAAACCTTCTCCATGTGAGAACAGGCCTTGCTCAGCAGTGGGCGCTGATAGGCTGATGACGACGACCTATAATATGTAAAAGATTACATATTAAACTCTCGATATAGATAAGAATCTCAATATGATAACATATTCCTATATTTTTGTTTCAGCTCTACTTATTCACTCAACACTCGTACGTTGACCGTCGGAAAATACAAGCGGCTGTACGTTTACCGGCTCAGGAAGTATTGGAAATACTCCGTTCAGTAGCAAAGTTGAATCCACAGACTGGATGGGAACTTCTTCTACCGCCGGATTCAGCATTCGAAGCAAAATATCCCGAGGTTATTCAGAGACAGAACTTGTATTGGGAGGCATGCCAGCGGCAGTTTAACGAGATGCTGATAGGCGAAAACCTTCCGAAGCGACAAAGAAAAAAATCCCAAAGGGATTCAATAAGTTCGGATTCTATGTTGAGCCCTAGACCGAGGAATTACAGTGTTAGTGAGGAAGACGATAGGAAAAGGAAGATCAAAATGACATCAGCTCCTAAAAGGACTAGAAATATGAGTTCAAGTAGTGCCCAGGACGCGACGTGACTGTTGTTAATATTAGGTTATCAAATTTTACATATAGTAAAGGCATCACAGTTTATTGCTTATGAGCCATGTTCTAGAACTTCAGAAATTTTTTGGTCTTAATTGGTTAAAAACATAAAATATTCAGTTTGACATATTATTTTCCTGTCTTCAACACTGCCATAGATAAAATATATATATTGTATGCTTCATCATATGAAAACTTTTTTGATATGTTAACAAACAATTTGAAAGTTAAATCAATCATTGCATACATCATAACTTAATTGTCTAACAAGTTAAGATTACTATCTATAGTTGTTTGTATATTTTAATTGTATGTTTTATCATAACAGACAAATATATAACATAATTTGATTAAAATATTTAACCGATAAGCTATTTTAATAGCCATCTTCTTTTAATATGTGAATGCCGTCAAACCCAATACAATGTTATTATAATAAGTGTAAATATTGAAGTCTGTGTTAAATTGTTTTTGGATTTGAATCTGTATATCGTTGTTATTTTTGTAATCAAATAAACTGCATCTGCTCTTACACATTATGTGCATTATTTAATTTTTATCCCGAAAAAGATATCATAAATTATTAAGAAAATGAACTCTTCTTCAATTGGTATTCAAAATGTGCCTGTAATGTTAATCCGTTCAAAATTTCTTTACTGTTGGATATTATAAAACATTCCTAATAATAAAATAACTATGACCAATTAAAAGCTCATATGGGCAGACAACATTTTTAACCAATTTAATATAAAAATATTCTGTTCGTTAGACGAAGCCTTATGGTTTTTGGACATATAGGTTCAAAAAAGAGACGAAGGTAAGTTGTAACACATTTATTAAAATTATTACACGAAATGGTGCAAAACAACAACAACAATGGAATTAATTATGTGCTTGTTTCAAAGCCGATTTACTTATTATTTATTAATAATAAGAGCTTACAATTATTATAGCATTGAAGTGTATGACTGTGTTGTCATTATAAAATAAAGATATACAAAAGAAAAATCAAGAATAGTTAAGAAACGTAACAATATAAATAAAAAAAAATAAAACTTAATAATATGTAACATACCATTGAAATAAAAAAATATCAGATCTCAAAAAATATATGTATGTACGAGTAAATCTCACTTCTATAATAAAGTGTTTTATAGCTACGCAATATTACTTAACAGTAAAGTGAACATTTATATTTTTTAAGACATTTGATTAAATATTGCAAAACGTAAAATGCGAAGCGTAAAAGAGAGAATTATAGTATCTTATTGTACATCAGAAAACAATATTTTTAATTTGTCTCAATTAGACGTTTACTAAGTAGTAATAAAAAGCGATAATAAAATATTTTGGTATTCTTCCTCGTCGGACAGATGACATAACACATTTAAAATCAAATATATTTTTATATTGATTAAGTTATTGTGATATAATAAATTATTTTAAAACAACACAATTATATTATATTGCATTAAAAATTGCTAAGTTCTTAAACTAAACATAGAGGCGATTTTGTTTTATTACGTGGTTATCCTAAATAGTATATTGTTCCACAGATACATAAATTTCGAATTAATAAAATCTCTACAGAAAAATAGAACAAATTACAAAAAAAAGCGGTTTGTTATTACTATTTCATTATAAAACCCGCACTGAATCAAAGTTAGAAAGAATTACAATAATTCTTTATACATTGTCATAATTAATTTTAAGTCAGTATTTAAAAAAAGGGATAAACAAAAATATACAAAAACAGTTAAAGTTTGTAACTTACTAGTCATAAAATAACCGAATGAGATACCTAAGCTATTACTACGAAGAGAATTAAAATATTTTATAAGGGCTTGAACCACATTCAGAGTCCTATATTTACCAGACTCATTAACATGCATATTTCAGTGTTGCTAGTAACTGACTAACATCAAACTTGTCTTTTAATTTGTAAAATTGTCATTATTGAAGAATAGCAATTGTTCGATGAAATCCTAGAATATATATTTGGTTATAAACATAAATACAGCTAAACTGAAGCCGATGTTGGTTTTAGTTGCTGAGTTGCAGAAATTTAAATTGCAATTGTCAGCGATCAAACCGAAGCGATTCTTGACGAGGTTCCATTCGCACAGACCGACTCGACAACCCTCCAGATATAAAGGTCTCTCGTTCTCCAAGAATAGCACCTGATATTTGTCGTTTATTTGGAAATTGCTATTTGGTGTGCATCTGAAATTTTTGTTTATTTATAATAATTATAATGTACAAAATACTAAAATATAATTAAAAAAATGATGACTGAACTTTATTTTATATAGAATATATTATTTTACAAGCTTGTTAAGCAAAATGAAAGTATTTTCTCGTTAAGTGAAATACCATTATTAAGTAAAAAACGAAGACTGACATAATGTGTATAAAAAAAATAAGAATAATAATTTTAATATCGGCAAATGTAAGTAATATATTAACATACTTGTAAAGTATAGCGGCGAGATTGGCATTAAACGGTGAAATACTTGACGATGTCCAGTGACGAGCGGTGGCTGTCGGCGTGTGATAGTTGTCGCCTGTGAGCGGCGCGGCGTCACGTCTCGCGCCAAAAGATGTCAACGATAAAAACAACATGGCGGCCTCAGTGAAGTGAACCGTCGCGCGCGGCTGTTGGGGAGTTTCTGAAATATATATATATATATTTATTTTTGATGTCGCAGGGAAACTCTTTTTACGAGCCGTCCAACCGGCCTTGGTGGGGCCGGAAGGGATGTGTGAGGCTCGGCCTGGGCAGGCCCCTACTAAAACCACTGCGAAAGCCATCGGCCGCTATGTTGGTGTACCCCGGATCTGTCAGCGACAGGGCACACCAGCGACTGGCCGGTCCTGGCAAAGACCGGACTTACTCCCTCGGAGATATATTGTGTTATAATATGTTGTTTTAAATAAGGAAAAGAATTGTTTTTTGTATAAAAGATATTATAATTATATTGCAGTGTAATATAGAGACGTAATGTAATAAACATATAATTTAAATTCATTTAATCGTTGGCGCGAAATGGCGATCTTTTAATTTGTAACAAATATGAGAAATTGATTTGAATTTGTGAACAATTAATCAAATAATTATGAGTAATGGATCGAAAATTTGTAGGCATGGCAATACTATAGTAATGAAACGGTATTTAAAAGATAATGGTATTGACTGCATCTATCGAACGAAGTAAATATTTTAATATGCAGCGGTTATTTGGAGCATGCTTTTAATTGCTTATTTTGGTTTTTCAATTATCTATCAAAACATGTTTAAAAATATGAAAAAGCCGTAGACAATACCCATTGTTTACTTAATTCAGTGTACATTTCTTTATCACTGGTTTTTAAAAGTTTATAATTCTTATCCTTACCATGTTCTACGTGTATTTTAAAGAAGTCCATCATATCTTTGACGCCGGTACATCCTATCTGTTGATTCAGATATGAGCCGTAGCCGTATTTGTAATAAGTCTCCAGGTCTTCAGCATATTCTAGACGCTTCAGGTCGTCTTTAGAAAAAACCTGCAATGTTTAAATTAATATTGACATTTGACCAATAAATTTTCCTTTGATATGAATAAAATATTCTACTTATGATATTTGTTAAACAAACAGCTTTTTTAAGAGGATTTGACATTAGATATAATATTATATTTATTAGTACCTAGCGGTAGTTTCAGTGAAATAAAAGATGCAAGACCATATTTTAAATCTGAATTGAATTTATACCTGAGATTGCAACATATTTTATACTTATTCTAAGTTACCATTGTCATAATACGAAGCATTGCTCGTTTTTCATTTAATTACCTACGACATACTATAATTTGCAAAGATTTATGAATGGAAAACTATTAACGCTCAGTACATAGTGTGACGATGTAAACATAGAGTAAGCTGACAGTAGAGAGTTTTCAAGTATAAATACTCTCACAGTTGGTATATATTAAAAACTAATAACTGTAAGATTTAATATGACGATGTAATCTTCAGTTTTGGATACTGTTGGTGTTTTTAAATTCATTCCTACTTTTTATATAAATAATTTAAAATATTAAATCGACTTATATAACCTATAATCATTTAATGCCGACAACCAAGTTTTTTTCATAATTTTTTTACTCTTAGTTTCTTTGTCAAACGATTGGTTATCAAACGATTTTGGATATAAGAATATCCATGAAATTAGCCTTTTATAGTTCTGTATTTTATATAATTAAGATTTTATACTAACAGCACACCAGGGTGATATTTGCGCTACGTTCCAGGCCTTGTTGTATCGGCACATGTCGTATGCTCGTTGAACCACCTCCCGTTGTACGTCATAGTTGAAGCCCATTCGAAGAGATATGTTTGTTATCATCTGTTAATATAGGAAATTTATTACGAAAGATTACCTATATAAAATATGTACTTTAAATAAAAAAAGGTTTATTAGTTTAAACTAGAACACTATTGGCTGAAGTTATTCAACCTTTTTTAGTTTTTTTTAAATTAGAACATGTGTTTTATATGTTTTTCTTAGTGATATTAATATGACATTAATAAGTGTTTATCTTAATTCTAAATAATACTCACCTCTTTGAATTCTTGTTTCGACTCGAACGTCCGTAACTGTGACAAAGTATCGTTATTTTCTTCGACTTGTTTGGTCCATGACGGGCAGAATTTATAAGGCTGTAAAATGTTATGCATTCGATTAGTGAAATTAAAAAAAACACACGCACAATCAAAATTTAAAAAAAATATGATGCGTACGTTTCAAAGGACTTCCAAAACTCGAATTAGGTATTGTTTTTACACAATTCATAGAAAAATTGTATGTATTTTCTTACCCTAAGTAACTTTTCATCGCTTTCCTTCGGTATATCGTAATTGTCTGCCTGAGACCTGAACAGACCTTCGGTGAAAGCGCGGAATGTTGTTTCCGATCGTTGGTCGTTCACAAATTTGAACTGAAAGTACAAAAATAACGACGTAAAAATATTTGTGTCTGTTGGTCTAACGTCGTAATGGCTATAGAGCCAAGAATAAATACTTATTTTATGATCAAAGTGTTATTACACTATATTTAAACTATGTATTTACAATTTTAAAGTAAGATAGTTAAGGCTTCGCATGTATTTCATATTAGGTACCTACTGTGATTGAATATTTCTAGGTTAAAATAACGTCCTCATTATATAAACTGCTATAACATCTATTTAAGGTATCTTTGAAATAAATGCAACTACTCCTTTGGAAACATATGAAAATGTACGAAGATCTAGAATATCTGGTTTGTTGTCTAGAGATGACTATAGGACAAAAAACCGCATCTAATGCTACGTATCTATAGTTTAGTCGACAGATGTCATTTTACATCATTACCGTTTTTACACCAAGTACAAGCAACTTATCTCACCAGCAATGTCAAAGAAATTATGTGTGTACCAAATAACAAATTAGTACACACATCATCTTATTTATCTAGCTACAAATGGAGGTAATTATAAAAATATTTTTACTGAAACAGAGTTTTATTTCATTGTTTTTGTTTAAAATTATCTTCTAATATTAATATACCTACTCCTATCGAGTGTATCTTAAATGCAAAACCTCATCATTACATGGCTTTTGTGTATAGAATTAGAGCTACAAACCACTCACCAAATAATCATGTCTATTATCAGTCAGTAGACCAGGGAATCGTTGTTTCCAAGCTTGTGCTAGCTCCTGTGTAGAAATATATCCATCGCTGGTGAGCTCCCCAGCGAATGTCACGTTCTGACGAGGATTCCATTCCCATCGCTCCAGGAGATTTACATCCGATGTGCACATACGGATCTAGGAAAAATAATATACTAAATTTGATTTTAACTCAATATGTGCAGTGCTATGGAAAATAAACATTCTTTGCCAAAAGGTACAGCGACGAAAATTCGCCAATCCATAATTAAATTAATAAGAGTCGACAATTGTATGTCTTTGATTAAAGTTTATATAAGTCACCCTTATATCTTATATTTGTTTTAAATTAATTCCATGAAACATAAATTAAATAAAATTTTATAATAAATATACTCAGGTTTCAGGTAAGTGTAATCATTTCTTTCATTAAAGTTCATGTTCGTGTATTGTTTTAAGTTGTCTTCCTGAACAATAACAGTAGGTTAAATCTTAATTACAACAAACAAAACATTAAAAAAGACTTCAGTAAAAAGATTGTAGGCATTTTCCTACTACTAAGTGAAAGGTTTGCATAGTTTTGCTAAAATGAAAGAAACAAACAATCTGTTCATAAATAACAAATATTATGTCAGTTCTAATGTATATATTTTAAACGAAGGCTACATATGATTGATGACTTTCCTGAGATCACATAAATCGTCCCATGCCTTGATAATATGGTATAAAAAATCCCATGTCGTTGATGGTGCGAAATGTGATTTTAATGAGGTTTTTCACATTATCAGCTAAAACCTCATACTGCCACAATATTACGACACATAATTTAATCATAAATAAGTTACAAATTAAATGAAAAACTTTGTTATCCCTACTAATATTATACATAAATGCGAAAGTAACTACGTCTGTCTGTCTGTCTGTTACGCTTTCACGCCTAAACCACGGAACTGATTTTAATGAAATTTGGAACAGAAATAGAGTTGACCTTGAGAAAGAACATAGGATAGTTTTTATCCCAGGCTTTAACCTTTGAAAGGTTCTCTTGGAAACACGATATAAACGAACTCCACGCGGGCGAAGCTGCGGGCGGAAAGCTAGTAACATATAAAATTACCTAAAAAATGTTCATAGTCGCTTAAAAGAAAAAAAAGATCCCGAGTGATTCTTTAAAGGTAAATAAAATGTTACATATTATGATAAATACCATGTACTATTCAATACATAACATTTTATTAAATATGCAATAAAGAACCGGTTTTGCAAAGAATTTATATGACTTCGAATGTTTGAAAGATTACTACATTAAGAGTTCAGATATGGAAAAACTCGCTGTGGTATTCGATTTCGATATCAATCTTAAACGAAATGCTTACATAAGCAAGTATAAATAAATTAGAATTACTTAGATATTCGGATGCATTAGATTCCAATAGAAATAAGCCCAGATACTCTTTTGCAATACACGTACTTGTTTTATACGTATCTTAGATTTTCGTTCTAGCTTTGTTTATTTTCCTTCAAAGATAAGAATCGAATTAATTTAAATATTAATCAATTGAATAAATGAATTCAAATGACATTGCATTAAGTCGGAGGGAGAATATTAAAGACTTTAATTTGATATTTAGTCTAGGTATTTGATAACGACGCTAAACTACCCAAAAGATTGAATAAGTTATTCGATTTTAAGCAAATTTTGTTTATCTTAAAACTTTCCTAAGATCTGGCTAGAGTTAAAGACATAAAAAATACTTTTAAGACATTTGGTTCAGAAATACATTGCCCTTGTAGTAGATGCTAATATCTTTGAAGGACAAATGTATACTTACATTAGTATTCCTATACTTTCCATTCTTGTAGTTTGCTATGATATTGTTTTTAAGATCTGTTAGCTTCTGAAGATCCGGTATTTCATCAGCCTCTGGATTGTGGGAGCCGTGGCGGTTCAGCAACCAAATTGCGATTGGTTGACAACCTAAAACAATAGTGTTTTAAATGCAATAGTGTAGTGTACTTTAATTCGTCTCTTAAAGAACAGAGAAGATCTTTATAAGGAAGATATACTACTTAACAAGAATGATAATTGACCTTCCTTGACTCTTCGTAAGATTTAATAAGTTTATCAAATGAATTGTGTCTAAATATATATACCAAAAAAAGTTTTATGCCCTACGCACTGCCTAATAATTATGTACCACATGTAGAATAACATAAATAAGTAAACTAAATGATTTAGTAACATTGATATTAACAATAAAATCTTAATGGAAAATGATTTTTTATTAATAAAAATGACAAAGGAGGTTTTAATACAGTATAGAAGTCATCCATAATCATAAAAAGCCGGCCGTTATAAGTCATAAATTAATGAAATCACTCCCATGTTTCGTGAAGCGATACCATCAATCAGGTAAGGTGTACCGGCTCGTTATATTGACATCATTCTTCTATTTAAAATGTGAGCCAATGTCACTCATTAAATGGCTTTAATGAAATCAACGTCCATTTTAACAAACACTGCTATTAAAATTGAAATAAATATATACAGGGTGACTGGTGAATTACTATCAATATTTAAGGAGCATACTTGGTACATGATTCTCATTCGAATTATGTAAAAAAATAGGTACTTAATTTTTGACCAAATTTCCGTATAAATAAATAAAGTGTGTACACGTTCCAAGTGTTCCAAGTGTGGACGCGTGCGGCGGCGTGCTGATACAACACACGCCTCCGCGCGCGTATGTGTGAGTGTGTGTGTATACCTAATCTGTAGGGTGTTCATACGATGCGTAATTAATTACACAACTTTTGGTTAACTTTACTTAGAAGTTTATTAATATTTATGTTATATTAATTTTTATTTTGTCATATATGATCGTCAAATATCACGTCCTCAAATATCGATAGTAATTCACCAGTCACCCTGTATATTTTTGAAATATTATTAAACTTAACCTTCAAAAGAAGGCAAGTGCAATATATTATTGTATTTACTAAGGTTTTCAGATTCGTTACAAACTGTAGTTTGATAAAAATTGATATGCCGTTGCTTAAGCTATAAATTATTTTATATAATATATAAATAAGAAACTGAAAGGATAAACCTAAAGAGGTTTTATATAAAACAATATGGTGGTTATTTATTGCAACACGTAAGTCCCTATAGCCAGTCGAGTGCATCTAAACGAAACTAGGTCACTCAGCAATAACTACTAGCTTTGCCATGACACTGAAGTAACAATGGCTTGAGCCAGATAAAAGGGATTATACACGAAATGGCGGGCTATAGCAAAATATCTCTGTAATAGCATAATTTGTACCAAAAGTTTAGGGTCAAGCCATGCGTACATGAGGTCATATAACGGAACGTCAATTGTTGACGGTTAAATGCAAATCGTGACTATTGATGTGATAATACTAAAGGTTTGGACGCTATGTTATTTGCAATAGCTTCTAGTACAAGTATGTCAATAAATAAAAACGATGAAATTGGCAAAATATTCCACAGTGTCAGCGCGAAGCATAGCATAAAAAAATTGTACTTTAACGAGGTTTCAGAATTTTTATTAAAGAAATTGTAGGACTAAACTTATAATTATAGGTAAATTTTGGTGTTTTTTTTTAAAGATAAAATTATAATATTACAACTTTTAATGATATTATTTTTTTTATTTCAAACTGCAATATGTTCAAACTTATACAGCCAAAAAATCTATATACTTTATCATTGTTTTAATTAGCTATCGTGTGTTAATTATTGATTAGCAAAGAATCGATGTGTATTTTGGGGGTCATACTCTACAATGAATGCAGGTATTATGTAGTTTTCAAGGTTAAGTACTAGGAAAAATGAAACAAGGATTCCTTTTAAGTGAATCAGAAAAGTTCACGGTTAAATTCAATGATTCATGAGTTGACCCGCAGCAAGACGTAATTATAGAACACGCAATGTCATTATTAACAAATTTCTATTTAGTGCAGGAAGTATTGAGACACTGACATTTTTTTTTTTTTATAAAATACCGAATCGGTTTGGGTTTATATTTTTACATCCATAGCGATGAAAAAAGTATGTATATGCAATTATAAAATATTAATTTTATAAAATAATCAACATTATTCTATATATAATAGCTTCTAGAGAATCTCAAATTAATTTAATGGAATTTTATATGTCGTATATGTTCATTTTATTTAAATTTTTTACTTCCATAAAATAACTGTCAAGCATTCATATGCACAGGGCGTTCAAGGTTGTAAAACAATGCACATACCGCGTTACATAACATGTCAGCCATTGTTGTTATACAAAAGAAATTTTGATAGAATTTCTATTACATAAATAACATTTAAAATATGCCAGAAACAGGATGTGTCAGTTTGAAAATGTTTTGTTTATGAAAGAATAAAGCTTATGTCACATTTTAATTAATCTGTCTCGTGGCGAAAAAAATTTAAGTGATGACAAGTTTTAGATTAAAAATACGAACAAGCGTTTAATTATTTTATAATGTTGGTTAATGCCTACATTAATTGTATTCAGTTAAATGTATAAAATTTAGATTTACATAATTGAGTGTCACATTGGCTGTACAAGTCGAGACGTTAGGTAACATCTAAAATTAATTTTTAAAAAAAACTTCCATTTTGTTTTTATTGTGACTTATTTAAAGTTGCGTTCCAAAAAATAATGTATAATGCTTATTTTGTTAATGAGAATAACAAAAAAAATCCGTTATTATCTTAATTCGCATCTGATTTTAAAACGTGTAATTATTCACAAAATCATTTGTTTTTTACAACATTCAAATACAAATGATTTCCAACAAATCAAATTGCGTGTTAGAATAATTTGAAAGCCTCTCGAAAAAGCCTTCTTTAAACGAGTAAGCATTTTAAATTTAGTGTATTTTGTTTCAGTTTCTTAAGTGGTAAAAATATTTACCTTTTTAAAACTTTAATCTTTAAAGATTTCATCAAAAATAGTTTTATTGATATTTGTCTTTTGCGATTTCATTATTACTTACTAACTAATATATTTAAGTAAATATAGATGTATAGAAATTTGTGAGAACCGGATGGATTGAAGTCTAATGTCCATATAAAAATTACAACTTTGCTAACAGAGATAGGAATTTCAATAAAAGATTTCTACTAGCAATAAACATTGATATGGCAACCCATAACCGCCTTAGGAAACTTCGAAGCTGTAATTTTCATAGTACCATTAAATTTATCTTGTAGTTCAACGAACAAAAACGTTGAAACTTGCAAAATATTCCACGAAATCAGTGCGAATGAAGCTGTAGCATTAAAAAATATCTTGACGTTACACTGACAGTATTTTTTTTAAATTCAACTGTTATTTCGAGCCGCACATCAAAAGGTATACAGCCGATGTCAAAAAAAAAAAAAGAAAAAAGGTCTTCTATTACATGTTATTTTTTAAATTTGGAAATTGTTAGACTTGAATGTAAATTATTTAAGCTAAACATTGTATATATAGAGCAACATACATGAAGTCTATAAATGTATTTATATAACTCTGATTACGTGGTGCAGTGTACATGAGGTAAGACATTTTGATGGTGTCCTGGTGTCATGAAACCATTTACGACGTGTCCATGTTGGACGGCTTCCAGTTTTCTTGGGAATTATTATAACGACGTAATTAAAACCGCTTTGCACCGCTACTGAGGAAATGATAAAAGATTATGCCAGTACATACGGCGACGAGCCTCGCTTTTCTGTAATACTAGCTGAGATACCGTCTTTGCTCGTAAAGAAAAGTTATTTTTTATTATTTATATACTACAATTAAACTACCTTAAATTACTCCGTATTATAGCAGCTATCTGTCAGTAATTCTCGTCAAAACTATTAACGCCGTTTCAAATATTAGTCGTAACACACAGACAAATTTTAATAGTTTAATACACATGTTTTAAGTAAAAAGCGGTTTTTTAAATATTACAAATGTATACTAATTTTGTTTATTAAAGTTGAAAGCGTTTAAAGGTATAATATACTTTAAGATAAGTATAAATATTTTAAGCTCAATAGCGCCTAACGGTAAATATTATTTTTGAACTTTACATAAATTATTTGAATACACGAAAAATTTAGGTCGAACTGAAATAATGAAATAGCCTTAGCAGTATTATCGTTCCAGTTTCGTATTTTGGTAACTTTTTAATGATGAAAGGTCAAAACAATTGTCACTAACTAAGCAACTTACCAAATAGCACTATGCAATTAACTAAATAAAAATTAACAAACATTTTCCTTATTAAACTTTTAAAATTCAGCTCAAAGGCTGTTTGAAGAGTAGTAAACACAACTCTCTTTTGACGAATCACGTTTACTGTAACTACGCTAAAAATTTTATATTACATATTAAATCATAAATTTGTGTGACCATTTTTAATTTTATATATTAAAAAATCATTAAATTTAAATAATAATAATAAAGTACTATAAATATTGAGCCCTAGAGTAGGCATTAATTTCGTTTCCCATTTCTTTCAACGCAGTTTCTGCTTAAATGTCATCTCTAAGTAGATTTCTGGTGACGTATACTTACCCGGTATATCATGAGCTCTGACCGGAATGCCTTTGTTAGCGAAGGTGTAAGCTGTTTTGGTGCCGAAGAGTAGGTAGGGGTCTTCATCAGCGGTCTGGCAAGTTTCCTGGCTATAAGCCAGGCTTGTGAGCATCAACACGCCGAAGATGAGGCGCATTATGAGCTGGAATTGTTACCAGTTATATACGACGAAAATATTTTGCTGTTTTTTTTTGACAGGTTTTGAATCGAACAAATTTGAAACCTAAAAGATTCGTGTATTTATATGTAGTAGATATATAAATAAGTTTTACACTGTAAATGTAGTTAAGATATTACTAACAAGTATTTTAACTACTTTAAAAATACTAATATTGTTATTACACCGGATAAACTAAGAGCAAAAATTAAAAGTTTTTCCAAACTCGAGGCACGCTATGTAACTTGTGGATTGAATTAATTAAAATGTTAATAATAACTTAGTTCGTCTAAAGCTCAGTAGTTGATACAAGTTTTTTCTAATTAATACAATGGTATAAAAGATAAAACAAAAATCGTAATGAATCTCAAAAGTAGGCTGCTGACTATACGCATTTACAGTAAATAAATGAGCACGAACGTGATTTTTCTCGGCCATTATTTATAAACAACGCGTCACACTACCATCAGACATATGCGGCAATAAAAACACGAAAAAAATACACAAAACACTGCACTTAAAAGAAAACGAAAAAGCAATTCGTACACTATATAATACCTTTTTCGTGTAAACTTTTTTAATATTTCCCGTAAGACATGCGACCTCTGTCATCCGCTAGAACAAACTGGCCGGTTGAAACAGGCTTCGGCTTGTGGCTGTACGCATGTGGTTGTACTACAAAACGTTCACAAAAAAAAAAACAACCAATCGACGTTCCCAATGAATGGACTTATAATCATTGTTGACATAATTTTCCTCTATAGATAAAAAATATTATTAATATAGTATATTTAAAAGATAAACAAGTTATAACTTATTAAATATCCGGAAATATATAGAAAAATTTGCAATAATTTTCTATACGTATTCTAATACGCGTTATTAACAATTTATTGTTGAAGTTTTATTATACATATATCAATATTATTTGACAACCAACACTATATATGATTGAATATTAAAATTATATGTGTTATTGTTTTCTTTTTTAATCTTAGCCGATGACATCATTACCATGAGGTATCTCATGAGCCATGAGGTAATCTTTAAACGAAGGTACTAACACCATAGCTGACCTAATAACTAAGAACTTGAGACAAATATCCGGTGTATAAGTTTATCGTAACATAAGACGTTGCTCGTTAAAACATGACTTATATTTATAATTATGTTATTGTAATGAGGATTCATATATTTTTTTGTTCCAGAAGCTTATAATGATACAAAATTTTTGTGTATAATAAAAAGATTGTAATAGTTTTTAATTTTGAAGTTTGTTTTTATTTTAGTTTAATTAGCACACTGGATACGATTCCACGTGGTCAGGTAAAATATATGTCTTGTTTTAAAATTAGTTAAGTATCATAAATAAAATTGCTTTTCTTTTGTAAATTTACTAACTATTTTATTTATTAAGTTTAATTTGTACTAACACTATATGAATCTACAATATGGTCCGAAATAAATTATTATTATCATTACTAAGTAAGATGCAGTTAAAATGTACTAAAGTCTATTGTTTTCGTAATCATATGACGTCCACCGCTCGATCTATTTTCCGCGCGATTGTTCTTTGAGTCGCCATTAAAATGAAATTGTGTGGGAAAATTTCCGTCGTTATAAAGATCGGACATTTCATATTATTTTATATATGCATGAAAAAGATTATATAAATAAACTATTTACATAAAATATTGATAATATTACGAATTCGTACACAAAGTGTGAACACAAAGATTTATTGAATTCTAACGGTATTTATATTTGAAAATTTACGTCATCAGCCTATCAGAGCCCACTGCTGAGAGGCCTCTTCTCACATGGAGAAGGTTTGAGCATTAATCACCACGCTTGCTCAAGACGGGTGGTGATTTCAAACTTATAATTGAGATTATAAGTCCAGGTTTCCTCACGATGTTTTCTTTCACCGTTTGAAAATTTACACCATATTATACTATTTCTAGTAAGTAATTATGAAAAAGAGGTAGTGATATTAGAAGCTTGCAACCATTTCAAACGAAGTACATCTAACACAGCGACCTCATTCACATTTTCTTAGAAAGTGGGACGTTATAAGCTCATTGTTTCTTTAGATAATGCTGTTTGCATTTCCGAACGATAACGTTGGTATTAGAATAAGTAGTTTATTGAATTAAGTAGCTTTTAATCTAATTTATATTCATTTTTTTTATGTTTCCTTAACTTGAAATTTTTGCTGATTTTTATTTTGTTTTATTTGATTTTTTGTTTAGAAGCCTCAAGTATACCTAGTTATTTAATCTACAAAATTTGTTAACTAATTATAATTCTATCATTAAATAATTTTAGATCTATTTTCAGTAACTACTTTTAAATTTTGTATTTTAATTGTCGTTTTTTATACTTTAGTAACAATCAAATATCCAATTAATTCTGACAAAGAAAAAACAATTTTTAATAATAGTGTTACAATATGCAATATGACAATGTTTTTTTGTCTATTCGTTATAACCAAAGCTTAAACCTGCATTCGGCCTCAATTTCCATGTGCATTGACCTGGCAACACTCAATGCTTGTATTGTTATGTATGTGGATGAACGCAAAATAACATTTTTTATATAATAAATAACAAAAAAAGCCTCTTAAAATACAAGTATGCGTGTATAATTGTAAAAGATTTTGATTTGCTAAATTATTTTTATAGTAATGTTTTGTTTTTGCGAGTTTTTTACTTATAATTAGTTAGAAGTAAGTTGTATAAAGCAATCTTAAGTATGATTAATATTCAAGGTCAATTTTAAAGACCTAGTTTTTGTGTAAATTATTCGGCTAGCTACTGAAATAAGAGGAAAGATGAATTTTGGTAAACATATAATGAAATGAACACAATTCGAAGTTTTTACTTATACTCAACCTAGTAGTGTTTTAAGTTTAAATTTAAATGAAACTTAGTATATTTTGGGATTACTATGCGTTATTTTATTACATACTCCCGAGGTTTCGGTTACTTTGCTGCAACCGTGATCACGGGCAGACGAGATGAGAATCTTATTAATTTATCATTTAAGTAAATACTCGCGAAAGTATTAGATCTCATTAGCATTAAAATTGTTTAAAGGTTTAAATATACTCGCTGATGTTAAATTAAAAATATATTGTATCAAAAGAAATGTACATTTATATATGTCTTAATTCTTCTATTTCTAGAAAAAAGGAGAAGTCAACAATAAAGGTATTAACTAAATATGTTTTACGTATAGTTCCGTAAAGAAGGAAGCACTCGCAAAGGCAAAACAATCAAATGGAAACGTTGATTGGTCGAAGTACAAGTCTAATTAAATTCGGTCGGCATACGTATGTGAAAGCCTATAATTCCAGGCGTCCATAGATTGCGATGACCGATTTACATCTGGCATTACATGATTTTAGATTTATCTCCGATGTATACAAAAACTTGACAAGTTTAAATCTGTATTAAATTAGGGTGACAATAACCTGAACTATTCAGAGAAATGAGAGGAGAATCATCAGAAGTTGAAAACAAAACAACAAGATAAATAGTAGATAGATAGATATAGATATAGATAGATAATTAGCAGTAAAAATATAATTAATAGAGGTCGACATCATTTACCTTGGTGAAGTATGAAGGAGGTAGTTGATAGAGGTGTGATAATCTTATTTAATAAGTACCTCAGAAGAGTAGAAATGATTATTATTATTTTTATGTCAAAGGTGGCAAACGAGCAGAAGGCCTACATGATGGGCAGTAGTGACTGTGGCCCATGGACATTCGTAACATAGATGTTACGGATGCGTTGCCAACCTTAATTGTTGAGGAAAAGGGAGGAGTGGGAGTAGGGAAATAGCAGGAAATAGGGGAAAGGCAATCGAAGCTCTCACTCATCGAACGAAACGCAGCCTGTAAAGGCTACTTCACGCTGATCTTCTGTGAGAGGGTGGTACTTCATCGGTCGAGCCAGCACAATCTTGACTATAGCTAGGCTGTACCACCTATCGAATTAATTATAAAAAAGGTTTTTAATAAAACTAAAGCTAATAATGTTTTTTTTTTTTATATTGTTAGTTGGTATATACCTTATTATTTAACTTACCTATAAGTACAGTCCTCTTATTTTAAGAGAAGTGTTGTATTTTTTTATTAATTTAAGCTATGGCTATAACATTGATTTAATTGTAATTTATGAATTTAATTTTAATGCTGTTTTATTTTAACTGCCAACTTCTGTAACGAGTATTTACGCGTTACAGAAGTTGAAGGAATGGAATTTAATGCATTTAATACGGTAATTGTAGGATTTTTTGCTTTTTATCATACTAAATAAAACTTCAGATTAATCGTGAAAAAAGTAAAAATAACAGGTTTTAATCTAAATGTATATTTTTATTTTAATGTGCAATTTAGTGTTAATATTTAAAAATACTCTCCAAGACATTCAAGGGCTGTTTATTTTTTTCATTTTAATTTACAAAACAAATAATTTGAAACTGAATTGTATTTATTTTGAAGCTAATACTGAATGAGAACTATGAACACAGTTAAAATATATTTACATATTAAATGTAGTATATGTATATATACATTATACATACGGACAAGTATTGTCCACATGATCACACAAAATTGTTAAAAATTGAACAACTTTTTTAATTTTACACGAGTTTGTAAGTGATTACTACTAAGTATATCGGTATTTCACAAATTTTTTTTCGTTCATATATATTAGGTGTATAACAAACATGACTTTTAATATCAACTGTAATCTTTATGAAAATTTATATTAAACGTATTTTTTATTCATCATGAGCCTATATTCATAAGCCTATGATATCTTTTGTCCGAATATATCTATAGTCCAAATGCCTATGAAATTAAATGAAAAGTAAAATAAATATAGTGTACATAGGTTTTGATTATTATAATATAGAAAGCGGCATGATAGAAAGTGCTACATAGTTAAAATTTTCGTTTGAGAAAAGAATTTAGCTTAATGAGATCTAATACTTTCGCCAGTACCTATTAATTGAAACAAAACTAATATTTTCATATTTATTATGTTTTTTTAATTATTTTAACTACCAACTACATACATATTTATATTCAGACGTGGTCATGGTTGGTGCAAAGTAACTGAAACGTCGGAAGGATGTACTTATGTAGATCATAATTAATATCGCGTATTGAATCCGTTAATATTAGTTTTATTTCAATATCTTGCTGTCTTGAACCTGTTTTTCCTTCAAGAATTTAAACTGAATTAATAATACAAGTATTACAAAAATACACCTGAAGACCCAGTCAACATTTTTAGTTCGTAAAATTAATTGATCATTACAAGTGTGTTATTTAAAGAGTTATAATTCTATTTAAAATATATCTCAACGCATCAATTTACAAGCATTTTTTAATACTAATACTAAATTAAAGTTTGAATGGCTTTTACGTTTGCAAATCACATATAAATACAAATAAAAGGTCAGAATTAAAATATTTCTGTAAATTATTAGTATTTTTCGTCTTTCTTTTTAATCAATTTGATGATTTACTCTGGGTTGCCACGTTATAAAAAAAATACTTAAAAACTTTTGGCGGGTGGTTTGTACTGGATTTTCTTGCTTTTTATTAATCGCATATTATTATGACAATCTATTTTAATTTTTTATTGAATGGGAACATTATATTTAAATTCCTCAATGCTATGTTACGTTTACCTTTCATATTGTTTGTGTCTTAAATATTTCTTAATCTTATTGAGTCTAATATTATTATCAATATGAAGATTATTCCGCTAGTCTTTTTATTAACTCAAATTCAATTATACTTAATCTATACAAATATTATAAAGCTGAAGAGTTTGTTTATTTGAACGCGAAAATCTTAGCAACTACTGGTTCGAATTGAAAAAGTCAAAAAATTTCATGTGTTGAATAAATTAATATTTATTGAGGAAGGCTTTAGACTATATAACTTCGCGTTTATTAGTTACATATATGTAGGTAATAGACGCGAAGAAGCAATGGAAAATGTGGAAAAAACGGGGAAAATTATTCAACTTTGAGAGCTTCCATTGAGTGCGCTGCAAAAACGGTTTAAGACGACAAAAAAATATGTATGAAAGAATTATTCCTCTTCAAATAATCTAAAAAAAATATCTGCAACAGTATATGTCTATTTTTAAGATTAACTCACTAGAATCGTTTTTATGGTAATCAAATTTGGTATAAAATAATGCATTATACGAATTAATTATTATTTGTTAGAGTTGTATCAAAATAATAATATGTATCTTTATCCAAATAAATATGTTCTTCTGCCACAAGTAAATAAAACTAAAAATATAATTTACGCAGAAGTACTTTAAAATAATTAAGTTCTTTAAAAAAATAAAATGTCTAAAATAATAACAGTAATTGAGGCGAACATAGTCATGGATAACAACTATAATTTATATATCTGAGGAGGTTGTTTGCAAAAATGAATATGATGCCCAAAATATCTTATCCACGCGAACGAAGTCGCGGACACAACTAGTATTGAGATAAATATGACATCGCACATTAAAATTACATATGCATTTGAGTCAATAAACTTCATAATTATTTTGGAGGTGCTTTATTAAAAACTGCAGTGACAGACATTTGTCTTTAATTCCTTGTCCTGTAAAATTATTTTTAGGAATATTTAATTCTTCAGGTATATTTTAGTTTTAAACCTTAATCAATCTATTTTACTCCCATGCTTTCTTCTTTATATTATTATTCTTTAATTTATTCCTATAAGTGATGTTCTTTTTATGATTCTGTATTTTTTTTCTCTTATTAAAGATAAATATCAATAACTATTATGTAGTCAGATTTGATCTTAATAAAAGTGATATATTCATTTTCTTTTGTCTTTTCCACAGCAACATATATTTTTTGAATAATCGTTAATCAACCACAAATAGAACAATTGTCTATGGACAACACTATTTCAAAAATGAAATATAATGATAAACTACATTTGTTTTTGGGTAATTTATTGCGTTTTATAAATTTTTGGAATAGTCATAATTGTTACAATGAAACTGACATTCATCACAAGTTTTTATCAGTACAAGTATCCGATGAATACAGTGAAAGTCAAGCGTATTGCCTACTCTATGCCATGAACTTAGTCCACTAATGGCGTGTCTTCCGGTACCACACGTTATAACGTCAAAATGGCAAAGAAAAAAGGCGATGAGAAAGTGAATCAAAACCCACAAAGTGATAATGAAGAGCAAAACTTTGACGAGGAGCCTAATTTTGACGATCCAGAGGGTTTCGTTGATGACATTACAGATGAGGGTAGGTGTTTTAGTGTCTAGAGGTTGGCCCGGCCATATGCGTCACCTATGCATTTAGTGCTTTTTGTTAGTGTTTTTAATTACTTAATATTACTACATTACTAAAATTTGGTATCGTATATAGTGTAAAACTTATTTTTTATATGTGTTCGTAATGAAGACGTAAGCACTATTTAAGATTCATAACCTCACTTTGACGTTGCAGAGTTGTTAGCGGATCTGTTAGAGAAGAAACCCAAGGAATCTGATGGTTACGAGAATGTGATCATCGTGGACGGATGCCCGCAGGTCGGGCCAGAGCGTTTGGAGAAACTCCAGAGCGTTATAAACAAGATCTTCAGCAAATTTGGCAAAATTGTCAACGAGTATTACCCGACTACCGAAACTGGTGTAACTACAGGTTACATTTTCCTGGAGTACAGCAACCCACAGAACGCCGCTGAGGCTGTGCAGGCCACAAATAATTGTAAATTAGATAAGCAGCATACATTTTTAGTGAATCTATTTACGGACTTCAAAAAGTAAGTAACAGTGCTTTATATTTAAAATTCTTCATTTAAATAACATGTGTTCTGAATACTTAAACTAGTTTGAATATATTAAGTTGGATATCCTACATTAAATATGTATAAATTATGTGAAACATTTCAAAACTGGAAAGTACCATAAACAGTAAAAATTAGAGTATATATGAAAAAATTATAATGTTTACATATAATTAGAAAAATACTACATAAGTTTTGTCATTGAAGTACTGTAAATATTTTTAGAAGATAACACTATTTTTAATATATAGGTATGCCGAGATTCCCAAAGAATGGGAACCTCCCTCTCCTCAGCCTTTCAAGGTTCAATCAGACCTACAATGGTATTTGATGGACCCTGATGCTTATGACCAATTCCTCGTCGGCATCGGAACTGGTGTAGCATTACAAGTATGGCAGAACGCATTGCCTGAACCCGTCATATTACAGGAGAGACCGGTAAGTAACTATTAAAACCTGACTAATATAATTTATTATTAAGAAAACATTTCTAAAACATAACTGATACAATTTTATTATTACTATGGATTATATCCCATATTATAATTATTTATACTAGTAATAAGCTTTCTACTATATGTACTATACATACTTTAAACTAAATTGTAATGACAAGCTCATGTAGAAGAACCATCATTAGTTTTTCACTTTAATTAATTAACAGCTGAATTATTAACTTTACAACTTAGTGTAATAATAATATATGAAAAACATTTAAGTATGGGATGTTATAGTTTTATATATATGTAAGTCAGTGGTGGCCTAGTGGCTAAAAGGCCCGCCTCTCATGCATGACCCTGGCTAAAGCTGCGAAATTGGCAGGTAGAAGAAGAAGATATATGTATATATGATATTTCTTCCAGAATTGGACTGAAACATATGCAGTATGGTCGCCTCTTGGTACATATCTGGCGACTTTCCACTGGCGCGGTGTAGCGTTGTGGGCTGGTCCTAAATTCAGTCAGTTCCAAAAGTTCTATCATCCCGAAGCGAGATTCATTTCATTCTCACCCTGTGAGAACTATATCGTTACTTTCTCACCCAGCGGTGATAGGGGTGATGATAAAAAACTAATTATATGGGATATAAGGTAAATATGACTAGCTATAATTATTGTGAAATTTCTTATAAATTCAAGAGAATTAATTATTTTTATGTAATAATAAACACAATAAGAGTGTAATTCTGCATCATGTTTTCATATGTACAAAACAAATGATAATAATTAATATATAAAAAAACTGAGTTAATATGCATTTAGCCATTTAATTATCAAAGAATATAATATAATTCCAGATAAAGTAATTTTGATTAACAAAATTGTTATATTCCACAGAACAGGTCAAGAAAAACGTAGTTTCCCACCTCCCGATGAGTATGTAACTTGGCCGATATTCCGTTGGAGTAAAGACGATAAGTTCTTTGCAAGATTGGGACCCGACATGCTCTCTGTTTATGAGACTCCGAGCTTTGGTCTTCTTGATAAGAAGTCCATTAAGATACCTGGTATTCGGTGAGTCATTAGAAATATTTTAATTAGGAGCAAGAAATTTAATGGTTAAATCGCACTACAACCTACTAAAAGATTTGGGCCTCAAGAACTAACATCAATTCATTCTTTGCACATGTGTTGACGGCTTCAAGTAGTCTTAAATTTTCTTTATAATTGCTAAGTAAAAAATATTAATAATTAGTTTTGACTAGTTGGCTGTAAAGTTTGTAAGTGCCTGAAATTTAATATTTTGATATGAAAATCATGTTTTATTACTGTTTCTGATAAAATATGTTAAATAATGTACAACCAAAGAATTAATCATTTTATAAGGGAGAACAAGTTTTTGAAGTCAAATGTATGTTTTATCAACTAGCTCAGATATTAAGAACTTGCTGAATTTTTCCCTTAAAAAAGCAATAAAAGGTTTATTCAACATCCTTAAGATTTGTTTATATTGATATTTGCCTTTAAATGTATATAAAACTAGTAAATCCCTACTAATATTATAAATGCGAAAGTAACTCTGTCTATCTGTTTGTAACGATTTCACTCTTAAACCACTGAACTGATTTTAATGAAATTTGGTACAGAGATAGAGTTGACCTTGAGAAAGAATATAGGATAGTTTTTATCCCAGACTTTTGAAAGATTCTCTTGGAAATGCGATATAACCGAATTCCACGCGGGCGAAGCTGCGGGAGGAAAGCTAGTAATTGATAAAGTATCAATGATATAATAATCATATATAATTTCACAGTGATTTCTGTTGGTCACCCTCGGATAACACTTTGGCTTACTGGGTCGCTGAGGACAAAGATGTACCAGCAAGAGTCACTTTACTAGAACTGCCCAATCGTACGGAGATACGCTCAAAGAATTTGTTCTCAGTTGCCGACTGTAAAATACATTGGCAGAAGAGTGGTGACTACCTCTGTGTGAAAGTAGATCGTTACTCCAAAGTCAAGAAAGACAAAAACGAGATAAAATATTCCGGCATGTATTACAATTTCGAGATATTCCACATGAGGGAAAAAGAAATACCAGTCGATTCGGTTGAAATCAAGGAACCGATACAGGCATTTGCATGGGAGCCCATCGGTGTGAAATTCTCCATAATTCATGGTGATACAGCAAATACTTGTATAAGCTTCTACCAAGTTAATACTGGTCAAGCTCCTACTTTGTTGAAGAAGTTTGAACGGACTCCCTTCAATCATCTATTCTGGTCGCCGATGGGTCAGTTCATTGTACTCGCTAACCTCGGCTTAACTGGAGGTGCCTTGGAATTTTTGGACACAAACGACTTCACAATCATGAATGTCTCCGATCATTATCAGGTATAAATAATATTTATTGTAAACAAGTGAATATAACTACATTTTTTACATAATCATTGTAATATGAACTAGATTTGTCCTCAAACTTGGTTGCTTTTTGGGTGATTTTATGATCAGAGAGAAATTAATAATGCAGTTATATTAAACAACCATTAGTAAGTTTAAACTAAATAATTATGTCGAGTTAACCAATGACCATTTATAGCCGTTAAAGTTTTCACAAAATCATTTAAGCAACAAACACATAAAGATTTCCATATATATAACATAAGTAAGATTTTGAATTTTTTCTTTATAATTTCTTAGATATTGCTATAAAACTGAATAATATTTTAGATGTCTGGCATTGAATGGGATCCGACTGGTCGTTATGTGGTCACAGGAGTTTCTTCACTCAAATGTAAGATGGACTGTGGATACTATCTGTGGTCATTCCAAGGGAAGATTCTTAGACGGTGAGCATAATAGTTACTGCATATATTGTTGGACTTTTCATACAAATATTACATCAACATTGATTTCATATCAGACACATATCAATGTTTCCTATATACAGGGTGACTGGTGAATTACTATCAATATTTAAGGACGTGGTAGTTGACGATCATATATGACAAAATAAAAATTAATATAACATAAATATTAATAAACTTCTGAGTAAAGTTAACCTAAAGTTGTGTAATTAATTACGGATCGCGTGGATACCCTAGCTGCGTTATCGACACAAAACAGTTATGTACGTAGGTATATGTAGTTATCGCGCGGTAGTTTACCTACATCCAAACGCCGCGCGCCGCCGCGTGTTAGACCTTAGATAAACAAAAATGATCCATTTCCCTTCATACTTTAATCCTGGCTTAGGACAGGCAAAAATACCAAGATATTTCTTTCGTTTAAGCAACCAATTTATTGACTAGGTAAATGGTGTGACCTTGACACAAAAAATAATATGAACTGTTTACCTATCTTGGTATTTCCGGCGTATTTAAAAATGGAATCATACTTATTTACAACAATTGTCAATCATTAAACTACCTATTTACCTACATAACTACACTAACCTTAACAAATGTTCAAAGCGAGCTCCTTCTCGTGTGATACACAGTTCGGCACGTTTACACATATTGTCTTTCACACGATTTAATACGAATGGGTCACTTTTAATAGTTTTGAAATCACTATTGATTTTTAATTTCAACTCCTCTCTGTTTACATACTCTGTAGCATACACAAGACGTTTCCTTGGGCATGTGTTGGAACACGGAACTGTCCGAAGTCTCGTAATCTTTGATTATCGTTTAAGATGACGCTGGCCGTAGGTACTCGACGATTGGGGAACATCTCCCGGTACAAATTGATTGCGCCCGGCAAGCTTTCATTTGCACGCGCATACGCATGAACCATGTCCAAGTATTCTGCATTTGTGTATTGAAAAACCATATTTAATTACTAATAAGTAATAACGGGTCACACGCACACACGACAGATTATTATTAGGTATACGCGTAAGATCGATCGCTAGGCGCACGCGCGGGAAGACGAACGTACGGACCTTACGGCGGCGCTCGCGCGACTAATAGCCGACTAATGGCCCGCTAGCCACGGGGCGGGGGTTGGGGAGTAGCGACACACTGGCGCCGGCAAGGCTGAGTACGTATTCAAACTTTATTTATTTATACGGAAATTTGGTCAAAAATTAAGTACCTATTTTTTTTACATAATTCGAATGAGAATCATGTACCGAGTATGCTCCTTAAATATTGATAGTAATTCACCAGTCACCCTGTATAAGGGCCAATGTAGCGATTTAACCATTTTCAATTTTGATTTTGCACATTGACCATCAAAGAAAGAAGCCATCGATATATGTATGACCATTATTTATCTATGTTTATTGTACCATTTCTTTGTTTAATTACTTGAAAAGTTACCATTTAGTTCTATATTATAATAAACACTTCTAAATTTCCAGAGTGATGAAGGAAGGTTTTGCCCAATTCCTATGGAGACCTCGTCCTCCTACACTTCTGTCTGAGAAACAACAGAAAGATATCAAAAAGAACCTCAAGAAATATTACTCTCAGTTTGAATCAAAGGACCGTATGAGGAGCAGCAAAGCTAGCAAGGTAACATAGTCGAGCTTTAGGCAGTAATTAAGTGCAATATTTGAATTATACATAGAAATTGTATTAAAATAATATAGGATATTATTCATATGTATCTAATTGAGGAAATAACTTAGAGATATTGTCTTTTGAAGTTAGTTTTAGAATATTAAAAAAAATGATTCATATAGATGCTTTGTCCAATATTTTCTTGTAAACATTGTGAATTACATTATATACACTCATGTATAAGTTTCTAGTGATATTTTTAACTTCAAATTAAAGGATTGACGCATCTATCACATATTTATAGATTCACCAGTTTTGTAACATTGAATATTTCACTCTAATTATAGTTTTGTTTAGTTGTTTAACAAAATCTTGATATTTTTGTACAAATTTACATCAATAGTGTTGTTTTTGTCACTTATAACTACCTATCATATAATATTAGATTTCTGTGGTTATACACAATTTAATATATAATGTGTTTGTTCATTGTTTAGGAGCTAGTTGCTAAACGGACGGAACAAATGAAAAAACATGTTGAATATCGAGAACAGAAGACGTTGGAGTGGGCTGAACAGAAACCGCGTCGACTCGAACTGAGAAACTGTGAGAATAATACAAGTTTAATATTAAAACTATTATTGATATTTAATATTTTCGAGAGTTTTATTCATTTAAATGAAACTAATATTTTTCGCATATACTGCGCGACTTTATTATTTAAAAAACTACATACTACCGACATTTTTGAGCATGTGATAATTAAGACGAGATGTGAATGTCTGTCAGTTTATCTTGTTATTTGTCTACCGCCATCGATTTATTAATTCTCTGGATGCCGACAGTAAAATATTAGTTTCGTTTAAATAAAAAGAAGACTATCTTTGTCTATCTGTGTGTTCCGGTTAATCTCTATAACAGATTTAGTATATTTTAATTATTATATTCAATGTTTTTTCTTTCCAGATGTCGACACAGATGGTCTCGACACAGACGGTGTTAATTCAGTCGAGGAAGTTGTTGAATTCTTTATTAAAGAGGAACAGACAGTCGTCGAGTAGTCGCCATACGTGAATTAATTTTCGGGGGTCAGCGAAAACTGACCTCCGACGTACGGAACCAATAAAGAATTACACACACACAGACAGCACTAAATTTCTTTTATATAACCCCATATACAGTCACAAAAGTATAGAATATCATTCCGATATGTGCAGTGTAAGATTTCGGTTAATGAATACAATAGGTAATGTTTATAGAGATCATATTAAATTGATGTGTTTTAAATTAAAAATGGACTTTTACTAACCTTTTTTTGTTTTTGAATTATTTTTTGGTTGCAATTGTACTGAATAATAATAAGGATTATTTAATCGATAAATATTATGATGGTTTGTTAAAAACTATACACTTTGACATCACATTTTCAGCTTGTTCTAAAAACTGTGTCAACCCTTGAAGGCATGTATACATAGTACCTATAAGCTTATTATTAAAAATAGTATAACTTAAAAAATATCAAGCAGAGGTCAGTTATAGTGCATAGGCTAAATAAGTTTTGAATCGACATTATGTATTTGAAAAAATGTGTCACGCCGGCGCGCGCATGCGCGGCCTTTCATCGCAGGCGCCGGGCTGACGGCGTTAGTTTTTCGAATAGAGATTTGCACGTTTAAAAATTAGGTATATCGATAAATATTCTATCGATATTTTCAATATTGCTATAAATAGTTATGCTTTTTACATAAAAATAATTTTATTTAAAATAACTTTTATGAATAATAAATATTATTAATTAATATTATAATTTGGAATTTCTTCAGGTAAAGTAATTATGTTGTATTATTAGGATAAATCGTTAATCTACTTCTGTTAAAAATGGTGTTTTACAATCAAAAATAATGTTAATGTTTGATATATCAAAATCAGTATCGAAATATGAATATTAAATATTTATTTATTGTTATGATTTTTTAAATATCGATATTTTGTAGTCGAGCTTACGCCGCCCTTTTAAAAAAACTTTTTATTAGTTAGTTCCTCGTTTAAATTTCTTCCGAGTGGATTACTTTTGGTTACGGTTTTATAAAATTGTGTTGTTTTGTAAAATGTACTCCAACCAGGAATATTTCAATATGTTAATGTGTCTAGGGAAATGTGATTGTAATTTTGCTGAATCGCGTAGACTTTATGAAGAACTGTTTGCTTCTCCAAGAAAGATACCATTACAGTCACTTAATGCATTTCAGCGTCTTCATATACGCATGTACAATTTCGGAAATGTCGATGGCCGTGAACAACAATGTGCATTAGCCTGCATTAGCGGGAAGGCCGAGGGTTAATAATGACGATCTAGAGGAACACATATTAGATATTTTTCGACAGTAGCCTACGCAAAGCACGCGCTCGGTGGGACATCAACTCGGTGCCAACCATACGCGTGTATGGAAAGTTTTAAAGGATTTCTAGAGCCGTATACTTTTAAGTTAACTAAGTGTTATTTTAAATTGATTTGTAACATAGTGAAACGTATCTATATTTGAAAAAAAGTGGTATCAGTGAATCGTTAAAGTGATTAAACAATCAAAATAATGTGAATGTACGTTCGAGTTCGTCACTAGTAGCGCAGCAGGTGTGATGGCGCCATGAAGTCATCGTGTTATACCAGTAGGTACAAACATTTGGTTACTCTACATATAATAATCATTTAATATTTAATTTTATTATTTTTATTGAAGAGTTTGTAAATGTAAGTTGTTTGATTATGTTCCATTTTCGATACTGATAACGCAGTTAAAGGGGGTTGACACAATTTTTCATACATATTGTATATGTATATACTATTAATGAAGCAATAGTTTTGGCACCACAATAATATTTTGACCCACTCGAGTTGACGTGATAGTTTAATTGGAGAAGTTATTGAGAACCCATAAGTAGTAGGGTCGAAAACTTTTGGTGTTACGTAATCATTATAAGTATAAATTTAAACTAATTTCAATATTGCCTAAACGTTCATAACATTTCACTCTCTAGAAGCTTTACAAAAGACATTATGTGATTGATTTTTTATTGAAAGTTACATAATGCTAAAGTGAATTTCGTATAAGCGAATTGGCAAGTAACGATGGGTATTTCCGAGTCATATGTATTTTCTAAGAGTATTTAGCCACTATTGACAGTCGGTGAAAGAAAACATCTTGAAGAAACCTGGACTTATAATTTCAAATTGAAATCGCCAATCCGTTTTGAACAAGCGTTGTGATTAATGCTCTAACCTTTTCCGTGTGAGAAGAGAAAGTTTATCAGCAGTCGGCTCTGATAGGCTGATGAAGGATTAAGTTCATATTATTAATCTTAAAATTAGTAAAAGTGAATATTTGTAATATAAAATAACCGTTAGATTACAATATAGTAAATACGACAACAAAACGTTTAATGCATGTGTAACGCTCCGGTGTAAAAAAATTACATGTCGTTTAAGTATAGAGATTTTAATAACTTATATTACTGTTATAAATGCGAGAAAATTATGGATATTGTTTGCTATTCACCTAAGATATACAGAACGGATTTTTTTTATAACTTCAATAATGTTGCTTTGACATCAGCATAACAGATTATAATTTATTCTATGACACCTTGTATGCACGGGAACATAGTACTCCGCTTATACTAAATTTGCATCAACAGTCTACATACAGGGTGTTTAGAGTTTTTCGTTTATAATTTTTCACATTTTATAATATAATAGTATGAATAAGAAATTGGAACCGGTTTGTATGTAGTGTGACGCTATAAACATAGATTAAGCATACACTTGCATCTAGTATAGTCATGACACAGATGTCAAATGTCTTTGACAGTTGGTTAACATAACTATTACATTAAATATACATTATTCATGTCCCTCTGATCTCAAGATCATACACAACGTGCTAGATGCTGACAGAATCTAGTTATTATGTATGTACAAAGAAGAATCCGTAGATAAAGATGAAATGCATTGAGCAACGTATATTTGCCATTGGAGAAATATTATAAGGGAACACAGGTTACGATTTCCTATTTTTCTGTACTTACGATTTTGATGCTAAATAATAAAAAGAACCATGTAATTTTAATGGTTAATACGATGAAAGGTTTTTTTTCACCATTTGTTGGTATATTTTCCTGCAAAAGGAATAGCTAAGTTCAAAACATATAACAATAACAAAACAGTGTTAATTAAATCCTTTAAATGACGAATGTATAGTAGTACATATTAGTTGATTTTTATTCCTAGAATTTTAAACATTTTTATACTTTTAATATATATTATAAAAAGTTATAAGAGCTTATGGATACATTTCTTAAATTTATTTACTAATTAACCAATTTAATTGAACTTTTTCAATAATCTTTTAATTATTATGACAACACCATAAAACTGATTTGAATTTGGATTGCGAACAAGATTCCGTTTATCGTTTTAACGCACAGGGAGTTAAAATCCTTCGTTACTCTGATTTCGAGGGATAATATATTTCAATTTTGAGGGATTTTCTTCGAAGGAGAAAAGAGGACTGTTTAACGAGCATTATGATTTTTTTTGCCTTCCTGGAGACATTACATATGTCCTGGAGACATTACATATGTCTTAAAACGCGGCAAATTTCATAAACAGCACGAACTCTGTGAATTCAATTATTCCTCATTTAAGTTACCTGCTCATATACCCATATTAAAATTTACTATTAGATAAATACCGTTATAAATTGTGTTCCAAAATTAATAATTATATTTCTATATTTATATAAACCATAATAAAAGAAGTAGTTGAATAGTCTACCCAGGTTTTTAGTTTCGTTACGACTAAAAGCAGTATAGCTTTAACGGCAAAGTAAAAAGAAGAGACAATTAGCTTCATCAGAAAGTACGTAAAAAGTCCACATCCTGAGTCCTTAATACGAGTGTACATGAAACTACAGTTTTTAATGTATAAGTATTAACTGCGTTGGGTGTCATGTGCGTCAGTAACGAGCAACTGCCTGTTTTTAGTTTTACGTCAAGCTCGTACTAAGGATAGTCACTGAAGCCGGTGCGAAGTGCTGTCAGGTTGTAAAGCAATTTTAACATATTCATACATATTTATATAATGTTGTCTTGTCGAGTTTAGTTTTAGTCTAGTGTTGATTATTTTTTATTTAAATTTCTATTAAGTTCTCGTAATATATCACGACTATACTTTATTTGCTTGTAGTATTATGGTGGTTTGAGGAAATGCTTTATTTTTTGCCGACCTCAGGTTGTTAATAATTTTCACGTAGTGAATGTTTAACACTGTCTTTAACATTGATATCTTATATACCTATGATTGAAAGAGTACTAAACACTACCCCTTTAAATATTATTTTTCTTTCAATACAAAGAATATATATTTGAAATAAATACCCTATTAATTATAACAAATAAAAAATCATTTAAACATCGATACATTCAGTTTTAAATCGATCATATTTTATATAAAATGATGTGTTTCATGATTCATCGTTTTCTATGAACACTAAGTACCATATAAGTGGCTAGATGTCGCCACAGTCGTAGTCTCGAGTGCATCGGGCTTGTAACATTGGGGGTGAATGAACCGTTATTGTAACGCCAGCAGGAGCCCTCATTTGCCGCAAAGCATTTGACGATCCCAAACCTTACGACTTAATGTATATCTACATTCGATAGTATTGTAAATGTATGACGTCTTGGGATCTATTTGGTAAAACGCCTTGGTGTTCAATTGTTTCCATAGACAATTCGAATTAAATATGGTTTTGAATATTTTGTAATTAAACAAGCTTTTCGATGATAATAATTTAGGTACTTTGTTTTCGTTTCAATTTATTTTCTTTTGGTTTGTCATTCGTAGGTTTTTTTGTGTTTTATGTACCTGTTTGAAAATTTCTGAACGTAACATTTTTACAAAACTCATTGTATGTTGATTAAATATATGATAGTTATAGGATTTTAAGTCGTGGGGAGATTTAAAATATAAACTCATTTTTTAAAATTTTAACGTTTTTATTAA